GTAAAACTGCAAGGAGACCCATGCCCCTTCCATGTAGTCTCAAGGCCTCTCTGAGGCAGGTTGTGAGACTTTTTACTTAGTGACCCAGTCTTTAAGAGACAAAGTTGGAAGCTACCAGTTCTCTTAAAGGCTAGAGCCAGACACAGCATAGCATTACTATTTGCTGTGCTTTACTAATCAAAGCAGTTGTCACAGGCCAGCCTAGATTCATAGGTGAGAAGGGAACAGAACCTACCCTATGGGTGTTAGTGAATTTGTGGACATTTTTAATCCCCACCATATAGTATCATTTATCTTTGTTTTTGTTGCTGCTGTTGTCTACTTTTTTTCTACTTTTGTGAGAAATGTCATACATATCAAAGACAAAACTCAATGTAATGTTTAAAATTTATGAAATGGACTATATAAATGGAATCTAGGAATAGAAATTGTTAGCCTCCTAAAATACCCAAATACCTCTCCCTCTTCTAAGTGTGGGACATTATCTTGTTACTCTTGATGATTTTACCTTCCTGTATTGCTTCTCTGAACATTCTTGACTGCTAAGAAGTTCTTCTTTGTATCAACACTTGACTCATTTTCCAGAAATCTCTTCTCATTCATACTAGCTTTAACTCTTGGGATTACAAAAAAGAGATTTAACATAATTTCCACCCATCAGGACCTGAACCATTTTTTGCATTACATGGTTTTAGTCTCATTTCACCTTTCTGTTTATCTAGTTTGCACATCTTTCTTGGAAAGCATGAACCTCAGTACAAAACACTGTATTCTACCCCTGGTTTATCATCTAAGCATAGGACTAGAGTATCTCATCTCTCACTCCAGATCCCAAACTTCTATTGATAAGGCCAAATAACATTGATGCCTAATGCTGAACTCATAAGAGATGAAAATACCTGAAAATGCCTGGGGCCAAATAGTCGAGTTGAATGGGATGTGGTGGGCGTCACTACCCCTGCATCTTTCAAGACTTTGATGGTGGCACTAATCTTTGCATTCCTGGAAGGATTGCTTTTGGTTTAGTATTTCCTTAGGTAGAGGCAGTTTGACTGTATTCCACTTGGCCTTTCCCACCATAAACGCCCTCACTCTAAAGGTCAGGGAACTTGTGTAGGGGTTCTTCCTGTTGCTGAGTGTAGGAAAAATGGAAGTTCCTATGGCCAGCATCCTCACCTGACCCTAATCAACCTGTTGATGTAATTGGTCTATTGCCAGACTAATGCTTTCACTCTCCTTGGCAATAAGCTATTATTGCCTGTGTTGCTATATAAAGAGCTCCACCCAGTGGTCTGTGCAGAGCCTGGACCAGAGGCAGAGACAGATAGGCTTGCTGCATGCATACTGCCAGATACAGACACGATTCTAGCACTCGACCTAGCACTGTGAGAATAAAGTTTGAAACAAATCCATTTACCCCTCAATGTTCCATTGTTATTTGGTCTCACCGAATCCAAAGTGAACTTTCCTGGAGCTAGGAACACCCTCTGGCCTGAGCTACACTGAGTATGTCTATTCCAATTATGCTTTTCAACACTGGGGAAATAGCCTCAAGATGGGGTTGAGACCTACTGGGTGCACTGTGAGACAGACCTGAGCTAAAACTCCATTGGTCATCTATCTAACCTCTACAAGCCTTTACTCTGACTGGTGGACCAGTTACATTTTGGGTCTCCTGGAATTAGTGTCAGTTCAGAACTAGTGTCCAGCAATCCAAGAAAGCTCTAATCATTTCCTTTTCCTTAAAGTATAGTTACCCTGTTAAATGGCTGTAGGTCCCTTTGGGAAAGGCTGGGAGAAAGATTAACAGTATAAATTTTGGGCAGTGTATTAGGGTCCCCCCTCAAGGGGATCTGGACTCCCCTTCATTCAAGGGGTTCTAGGAATTGTGGGGCTGTCACTGTTTTTATGATTCAACTTAGATTTTTGTTCACTTGAGCTCAAACTCTTCTGCTTATACACATCAAGTAAATAATTCAGTAGGCTTCCCACATATTTCACTTCTAGGAATAGCATGGTCAAATAGCCAACACCACAACTTTCCAGGAAAAAGACTATTTTGCTTGCTGCTTTGATTCTGCTGCTGGCTATAGTAATCACGCCCAACTTGCCTTTGGCTGTGGAGTGTTGGACCCTGCCACTCCAATTACTCACTGCATTTAAGTTCCCAATTCAGTGGCAACAGTTTCCACTGTAAGTCTTCAAGGATGCAGAGGCTCTCCTCACACATTTATTTCTTACTAGGTGAGAGGCGTGTCCTCTGGATCCTCCCAGCATGGGTGAGTAGGACTTAAATGACATATGCACCCCAGTTTCATGGAACTAGATAGTGGAGATGGTTACACAATACTGTGAATATTTTAAGAGTTACTGAACCATACACTTTAAAGTGGTTAAGATGGTGAATTTTATGTTATGTTTTGAATTTACCTCAATTAAAAAGACATCTAGAAGACTGAAAAGACAAATACCAAATGATTTCCCTCATTTGTGGAGTATAACAACGAAGCAAAACTGAAGGAGCAAAACAGCAGCAGACTCACAAACTCCAAGAAGGGACTAGCGGTCTCCAAAGGGGAGGAGCGGGGGAGAGCGGGTGGGGAGAGAGGGAGGGGTATTATAATTAGTACGCTTAGTGTGGAGGGATCATGGGGAGGACAGTGTAACACTGTGTAACACAGAGAAGACAAGTGGTGACTCTGTGGCATCTTACCATGCTGATGGACAGTGACTGCAATGGGGTGTGTGTGTGTGGGGAGCTCAATAATGCAGGTGAATGTAGTAACCACATTGTTTTTCATGTGAAACCTTCATAAGAGTGTAATCAATGATACCTTAATAAAAATAAAGTTAAGAAAAACATCTAGAAGACTGAATAGAATATTTCCATAAGTTGAGTGGAAAATAAGATTAATAAATTATATCTTATTTAGAGTGAAACTATATTGGTTCCTAGTGAACATCACTCCGTCTTCTGGAGATCAGCGAACTTCCAATGATGGGCTACAGGCCCCCTTTCATCTTGGCAAATGAAAATGCAGATACCTTGAGCCAGTTAATGAATGATTTAGAATCTCTGTGTGTGGTGCCCCGGAATTTGCTTTAATTATCTCTACAGTAATTACTGAATGTCCTAAAGAGAATCACAGCTCTAGGTGCCCATAAGTCTCCCACTAATAAGATCCTCTTAATTTTTGGTTGGGACAAACGTCAATAGCACCTGTCTGTGGTTTCAGATATTCACTTTCATCTTCTCTTTGAACATCAGAAGATGATTTGCCTACCTCCTGTTGCCTCTTATCTTTTCTACAAGTTCTTAAGAATTCCTGGTTCAGAATTTTCTCAAAATAGAGAAATTATTTCAAACACTAGAAATGATGGTATTCAGTAGTAAATTATGCCAGTCCCTTGCAATGTTTGCACTTATCTTGATCTCTCTCTCCCACTTAGGTATTTTCTTGCATTTTCCTTCTGATGCCTGTTTTCCTTGACAGAGCAGAAGCAATGCATGAGTTAGCTGATGGGCTGACTGTCCCATGTAAAACTTAAATTCATAGCCTACTCCTATCTTTTCCATCTAGGGACCTAAGGTGGGAGTTTTGCTATAAAGTATTTCAGTTTTTGTTCTTAAAGAAACACCTGAGTGTTGTCCCTTTCAATGTGGAGCTTTTACACGGGTTGTTTTTACACAAAACATTAAAACATTCTTTTAGTGTTTTCAAAGCCAACATAAGCACCTTAGTATTGTTTATGTACAGTTAGACCTCTCACTTTTACAGTTTGGATTACAGTCAGCTTTGCTCCCAGTCGTTCCTTACACCTTGGTTGATTTTACTTTGAGCTATTCTGCATGGTTTACATGTAATGCTGTGCCGCATGAGCTAGAGTGGTCCCTTTACTGTCTACAATGTCTGGTTTCTTCCCAAATGGTAGAGCCCTTTCTACTTAGAGTCGCCCACTGTTGGTGGAAATTCTCGTTGCCACGACTTGGAGCTGGCAGGCTCGAGAATTCTTCCAGGCCCCAGTACCTTGCCGGGTGTGGTGGTGCGTACCTGTAGTCCCAGCTACTCGGGAGGCTGAGGCAGGAGGATCTCTTGAGCCCAGGAGTTCTGGGCTGTAGTGCGCTACGTCGATCGGGTGTCCGCGCTAGGTTCGGCATCAATATAGTGACCTCCCGGGAGCGCGGGACCACCAGGTTGCCTAAGAAGGGGTGAACCGGTCCAGGTCGGAAACGGAGCAAGTCAAAACTCCCGTGCTGATCAGTAGTGGGATCGCGCCTGTGAATAGCCACTGCACTCCAGCCTGGGCAACATAGTGAGACCCCGTCTCTTTTGAGTCTTGCCTTTCTTCCCCACGATTTGCCATAACAACACAAAAAGTGCTGTTTTTACACTTCTGAACGACTGTTTTCCCACTACACCATTTATCCCTCATGGTGGGGCAATCTTGCCTTATTTTTACTTTTATCTTACTTCACCATTATCTAGGGAAACATTTGAATATTGTTGCCAAGCGTGGCAGAGCCCCTATTGTATACAGGGTACTACGCTGATCCAGGGGAACACGGAGCCCCAGGTTGGATGAGCTTCCCATCATACACCGCAAAACGCTCTTTGGAGAGTAGGGCCCATTAAATGTGAACATTTTTTTGAGCCTGGTTCGCCTTGATCGTTGATGGTAGTTGTAGGGCGAATAAACAGTTCCCCGTCTTTACATCAAAATTCTGCACAAAATTCCAAGTAACCGAACGGAAAGGGGTCGTTGATCTGCGGAGAGCCCTACCACCCAGCCGGGAAAATCCTCCAGGAAGCTCCTCGTAAAATTTTACTACCAGCAGGGGTCACCATGAAGGGGAGCTTGGGTATCGAAGCACAGACGCCAAGGTAATCGGGCTAGTCCTTAAGCTTTACCGGAAGGAATGCACTTTCAAGAGAATAGTTTGGATCTATTTCAAATTGTTTTGATACAACAGAAAGCGAACTGACAGTAACTTTACAGCCGAATTCTTCAGAAAAGTGACGCAAACAAGTTCTCACTAAGGAATATTGGGTCTTCTGCGCGGCCGTAGAGCTCTGCCAAGCGCGCCTGCGCAGAAGAGTAGCGGCGTTGAGTCAGGGAGTCAGTGGGGAAAATTGCGGTAGTGACTGTCGAACCTCGCCATGAAGACCCGTTTCAGTACCATTGATCTCCGCGCGGTACTCGCTGAGTTGAACGCCAGGTACTGTACGACAGGTGACCCGGCTAGTGCAGGGAGTGCGGGAGGCAGTGGCCGGGGACCCACAGTGGAGGCAAGACTAGTCTGATGTTCCCCTTTTTCTCCCCAGTGGACCTGGCTAGGCCTGGGTGGGCGAGCGCGTGACATCTTTGTGGCCCTCAATGTACCTGGCCCTCAGTGTACCTGGGCTCTCGCGGGCTGCTCATCTCCCCAGGTCTCATGTCCCCCTGGTGCGGGGGCTCACGCTTTGTCACCCAGGGTCGCCCGGGTCTGGCAGCAAATGTTCGGTAAAACGCGAGACACCAGGTGGACACCTGGACGCCAAGGGTAGTCATTTGCTCCAGAGGTTGCTAGACTGGAAGACTGGTTTCTTTGACACGCCTCCTCACCCCTAAGAGAGGGAGTATCGCCGTTTTAGCTGGAGGCAACAGATTTGGCCCGAGGTCCGGATTCTAGTCTGGCTTCTATTATTGAGTTGTGTGAGTTTTGTCCTGTTTCCCAGGGCCTCGTTTATCTTTTTCCCTTTTTTAATAAATTAAGTAGATTATATTTTACTGTATATCCTAGAAAATATTTGGGTCATTGCAAAGACCAAGCCATTGTATGGTGTTCCTTGGGCTGATAAACCACTACTGTTCTTAAATAATTACACTTAAGTTTTGGGCTGAATGCCTACTGGCCTGCCGACTGCTCCCTGTTGACGCCCTGTCCTTAGAGGGAAAGATCCCGTCTTTTGCAGGCTCTGCTTCAGCCCTCAGCTTTAAATTATGTGAAGTTCTGTGTTTCAAATAGTATGATATGTTGCTTTCCCTTTTCCTTTGCAGCTTGTTAGGAATGCGAGTAAACAATGTTTATGATGTGGATAATAAGACATACCTTATTCGTCTTCAAAAGTAAGAGCATTTTATAGACTTTTTTTTATTTTTGGCAATTCAACATGAGTATTTTGGTTCACCAAGTTAGCACTGGCAAATGACCTAAAGAAAATTTTGACTTTTTTCTTTTACAGACCAGACTTTAAAGCTACACTTTTAATTGAATCCGGCATACGAATTCACACAACAGAATTTGAGTGGCCTAAGAATATGATGCCATCTAGTTTTGCCATGAAGGTAAACTTTAAGTTATACTTGAAGCTAAATTTTAAGGCCCTGAGCTTGTCACTAACAATTGAAGTTTTAAACGTTTTGGTTTTCCTTCATTGTTATGAATAAAGTAGAGATACAGTAGTTGGTCAATACTGGGATGAATAAAGTAGATGTTTATTTATTAACTTCTCTCTTTACCTTTCATACTCCATTGTGCTCCAGATCTTGCTGTTCCAAGTCACTATTCCAGTTCTGGCTTTTATAATATTCGACCTTATAGTCCTTTAACTGTATACTCCACCTCCCACTAATGTTGTCAGAACAACATTAGATCAACATTGATTTTTCTAATAGTTGTATTACCATTTATGATCCTCTGATTTCTGAACCCATATCCTATATCCTAACATTCTTGACTTTCTATGATCTGCATCCCACCCAGCTCCTTATCCCCCACCCCCCTACCAATCTTATCTTCATCTCACTTTGAGCTACCAATCTGTATTTTGTTGCAATAGTTAGCGGTATGTTGTCAATATTGTATCTTTTTATTTTTCACTTCCCTCTTTCCTTTTATTTTCATTCTTAAAACTGTGATCCTGCATTTTTGGACATGTTAACCATTAACTGACAGCAACCACTTATTGACAGGTATGCTGAAAGTTCATGTGGTACAGAGGAAAGACGTTAGAGTCAGATATACCTAACTTGAATTAATGTTTGTGCCACTAAATAACTTTATAACCTGGAAAAGTTATTTAATCTCTTGGAACTTAGTTTATTTAAATTTAAAATATGGATACTACCTCCCTCATGGGGTTATTGGTGAGGATTAATTGAAGTAACATGTAAAGCACCTAACACAATGCCTGACACATAGTAGGCCTCCATATGTATTAATTTCCTTCTTCCTCTCCTCCTCACTTTCCTTCAGAAATTTATTTGTTTTGGCATTGTGTTATTTCATTAGAGGCTTTACAGAGAAGAACCTTATCCCCAGCAACTTAGAATCTGTTTTGGATTACAAATTAGGTAAGTGTTTCTCAAATCACAAGGCCTGTCACAAAATGATCAGATCCTTAAAAATCACTTAATAGTAACCCAAAATGGTTCTTTTGGGGATTGTCCTTAATAATAATGGCATTTTATATTTGTATAGCACTTTGCAGGTAGATATGTCATTTGTGTTGTGTAACAACTCAGTGGATACAAAGAACAAATGAGGTAACAAATAATAAGATGTATGATAAGGGGATTGCATAAACATCCCTAAATCAGGCTACACCAATAGAAGGGTTAACACTCTAAAATTTAATCTTAGAATTTTATGAGTTATTTACACATGTCAGTCTAAATGTGTAGAAAGATTCCCTCCAAAGGAGGAAACAATGTTAAGCATTTTACAAATATCTTAAGGAGCTGTTACTGTTGTATGGCACACGCAGAGTAATTCAGTGCAGTTGTTCCTAGTCCTCACATTTGCAGATGATAACTAGTTTTGTGGCACTGACAGAAGGTTGTTTTCACCAAACTAATAGGGAAGTAGATAAAAAACGAGCTTTACTTATGTGCTATATGTCCACCTATACTCATGATAAATAATCAGCCCTTTTTCACCATTCCTTGTTGCAGATCTCTGTTCCTTTTGCTAATGCCTTTTATCTTCATTTTAACTTCATTTTTCTTGAATAAAAATATTATTGGGGAACTCTGGAGGGATTGTGATTTTCTCCTTCTGGAGGGATTGTGATTTTCTCCTGGGGATTTAAAGTACATGAAAAGAGAATTTTAGTCAATTTGAACTATAAGGTCTGGAGAAGAACTCTTCTTAGTCATGAAAGAGTTGGCAATAATTAAGTCTAAGAATGACTCTATATTTCTTGTTTTGTTTTTTAAAGAAGCTTTTAGATGAACTCTGCAAAATCTGTCTTGAATTTGAGTCTTGAAGAGAAGAAGGCATTCTTACTGGTTTTCTCTAAGGGGTCTTTCAAATTCAAAAATTAGAAGCAATTAAAGATTTTTTTAGGGGCTAAGAGTAGTCTTGTTTCTGGTCCATGTCGTGCTTAAATATTTGTACCAAAGGATGGTACATGTAATCAAAAACAATAGGTGTTTGCCATGTGACTTGTAATTGGGTATAACATTGCTAATAAGAATAAAAGCCTTATGACTAGGGATAGGAGGAATGGGGTTGGATAAAAATTTATTCATTTGGTTTAGTTATTTCATTTGGATTTGAGTTAGTTTTATCAAAAGTTTAGAGACAGAACCAGAAAATTTCTGTTTGGGTTATATTGATAAAGCTTGTAGGAATAGAGGGTAAATAGATGTAAGTTGGGAGACTGATTTATATAAAACATCAGCAAGCTCATGGTTCAGAATTTGTATTTGAAGTGGAAGATTAGTGGAAACACTAATTTTGAACAGGAGCTCACAAAAGGAAGTTTGGGATATTTAAAAGATTTGAGTAGAAAGAGACTTAAATACAAAAGGTTACAGCTTTGAGTGAGGTCATCAGGCAAGAACAAGGAATTCAGCAGTGGTATAAAGCAACAAAATAACCTTGTCTATAGCGCCGTCATTGTCTACTAAAAAGTTAATTATAAAATACTGTTCAGAGTTAGCAGAGTTATCTAAATAAAATGTTTTCCTCCGATAATTAGCTGCAAGCTTTTATGACTATCCTGTTTTATTAGCTACTGATAAGTTATTATTTGTGATGGTAATGAAAAGAAGAAATTTATTTATAAATACCAGATGATTAGGAATTCACTTTCATTATATAAATGCCTCTCTATTCTGTTTCTTGCTAGTGCCGAAAACATTTGAAGAGTCGGAGATTAGTCAGTGCAAAACAGCTTGGTGTGGATAGAATTGTAGATTTTCAATTTGGAAGTGATGAAGCTGCTTATCACTTAATCATTGAGCTCTATGATAGGGTAAGTTAAATTCGGGGGATGGGGTGAAGGACAATTCATCTTTATGTTAATTATTCATGTGATAGGCTGTAAAACATGGGTGGAGAACATTTTTCTGTGTCAAAGACTATTGATACAGTAGGGTAGTATTTGAGTGCTCTACAAATAAAATACAATTTTCCAATAGTAACCTTCATTTTATCTAGAAGTCAGAATTCAGGCAAACCTTAATTATTTAAAATAGCATTATAAATGTAAGAGATGAAGATCTGAGAATTGAAGAAATTATCTTGTACTTTACATTTTAGGACTAGTATGGTGCAACCAGAAAATAGCTAGTTGGGTCATGAATAGGATGGCCATTTGAGACTCAGGGACATTGCCATGTTCTCATAATGTCCTCAGTCATAAGAGGAAGACTACTGATGGCTTCATCATTCTTGCTTCTTGCCTCTTATTCCTTCCATTGGTCACCAAATTCTATTTTGGAAATGATTTGTGAGCTACTTAACAACAAAATAAAACCCAAGTATCAAAAATTTAAATATAAAAAGTGAAACCATAGAAGTACCAGCTGAAAATATGGATTAAGATTGATGAATTTGGGATAAAAAAATTATCTAAGCCTAACAGTGAAAAGAAATATTAATAGATAGGATTGCTTAATTTTAAAACTGTAAGGCAGACAACACTGAACTATATCAGAAGATGGAAAATGGGAAAAATATTTTGAACTTGTGTGATAAATAAAATGCTCATAACTCTATGATGCAGTTTTCACAAAGCACACTAGTATAAAATGGGCAAAGTGCTTAATTAGACAACTCAGAAAAGAATAAATACAGATGGCTCACAAATGCATGAATACATGTTTGAGTTCATGAGTACTGGAAAATAAAAACAATAAGATATTTTTCTTATTCCTCCTTTCTTTTCTCTGTCAATGTACAAATAATTGGAAAGTTTGATAATAACCAGAATCAATAAGAGCAGATTAGAATGTTAATAGTTTATAACATGATCTTAAAAATTTATGTGCATAATCTTTGACCCAGGAATTCCACTTCTAGAAACTTATCAAAAGAAGCAAGTGAGCCAAGTGCTCAGAAAGAGCATACCAATGCATTGTACTATGATAGTTAAAATGGAAAGAACCTAAATGTCTTTGTTTTTTGTTTTCTCCATATCTTATGATAATTAAAAGCCCTTTACCTTTCTTTGACATTTCATTTAGTAAACTACACTTTTGCAAGTTAAAGTGACATATTCTTTAAATGATAGTTTGCTGTCATTGATCCTGTAGAGTTTAGGAACAAATGCCTTTAACTGATATTCTTTTACTGCTAATAGCAATGTGTATAATTACATAGGTACAATAAAAATTTGTCCTTCCTTTTACTGGGATATAATTAGGCAAATTGTGCAGCCAAGTTCAAACCTAAAGTATCATATTTGAGAATAAATCTCATTTAATTAGGTATAACAAGCTCAACATTAAGGAACAAAGTTTATACTTCATATATATTTGAACCAGTGTCCACAAAGTCCTTCTGAGAACCCTGGTCTTGTACCTATTCTGTGGCATATGGGATCCTAGCCTATAGGTAGTAAACAAGGTCACTTCCTGCAGATTTAAGTGATTTTAAATAGAGAGGAATTTACCTACATTTGTGGTGTACCACACAAAAAACTGAATAATAATTTGGTTAGTTTCATAGCTTTAAGTTAGAAGCACATAATTTTTAAGTATCTGAAATAATAAGAGACTATTGAAAATACAATCCCAAATTTCTTCTGAATTCTCCAGGCAACAGTGATTATTATGGCTTTAGTAATTGCCTAATACTGTGTGGTTCTAGATTTACTCTTGAAGGTTTATGTATATTAACATTTCTTACTGTACCTGTGGAAATAAATCAGACTGGGAAACAATGAGAGTAGCTTTTGTGTGTGTATATGTGTAAGAGACTCATGGGAAGAGACTGCTAAGAATTATCTAAAATTTGAAAAAAGACAAAAAGGAGGAAATGTCATTCATTTTAGTTTCCTGCTGAGTATAGAATAGCAGGCACTCCTAGGGATTATTTTTTTTCTCTAGAGATAATTATCTTTGATTGATTCGCTGTTTATAATTGATTAGGCTTCTGTACACCTGTTACGGTAGACTTGAACTAGTAGAAAACTGATAGCAATTCAAATAATTTTTACCTGAGAGCAATGAAAATTAATTTCACCCAAAATAATATCTATACAGATAAAAGATATCCCCAAAGTTATAGTTATTTTTTTAATGGAAGTATAGTTGATAATACAGTCTTATATTAGTTTCAAGTATACAGCACAGTGGTTCAACAGTTACTTATATTAAATCCTCCCCCCTGCTAGTACAGCTACTATCTGTCAACATAGGAAGATGTCACAGAATTATTGACTGTGTTCTCCATGATGTACTCCTATCCCCATGACCAACCTACATTATGATTGAGAATTTTTGTGCTCCTTTATCCCCCTCAACCTCCCACACACCCACCCCAGACCCTCCCCCATGGTAACCACCAGTCAATTCTCAGTGTCTATGAGTCTACTGCGGTTTTGTTCGTTCTGTTTTGCTTTGTATTTATATTCCACAAATAAGTGAACTCGTATGGTATTTGTCTTTTTCCTCTTGGCTTGTTTCTATAATAACCTCTACCAAAGTTATAGTTTTATTGCTCTAAATTGGGATCTTACACAATAATTATAATTTTAGCCACTCTAAGTACTTCACTTACTTCATATCTCTTAGAACCAGCCTTGCCTTCTAGTTGTTTCTCTCATTAATTAATAAATTTTTGAGAGTTAAAAAGTATAATCTTGTCTTCTGGTGACCATTGTTTCTACTGAAATCAGTGTGAGTTGTATTGTTGCTTCTTTGAAGTAATCTGAGCTTTTTATTTGGATGCTTTACATTTTTTTCTCTTTGTCTTTGGTTTTTAGTAGTGTTGCTATGATGTGGGTAGTTGAGTTTTTCTTTGTAATTATCTTTGTGGGGTTCTGAGTATTTCTGGAGTCTCTGCTGCTGTTCTCATCAGTTTTGGGAAATTCAGCCAATTTTCTTTTGACTTATCTTCCAATTCACTAATTTTATTACTATCAGATAAGAATCATTTGGAATTATTCTTAATTTCTGACTCCTCTGAGTGTCTGTTTTTATTGTTTGTTGTTTCTTTTGATCTTAATTGCATTGCCTTGTCTCCTCACATCCCTGCTTCTTATATTGTGTGCCAGGCATTGAGTAGGAAAACTAGTATTTACACTGGTGAAACCTGGAATGATGCATTCTTTTAGAGAAAGTATTTGCTTGCTTTACAAGGTAGCTAAAGGCACAAATAATCCCAGGTTACCTTACTCCAATCAAGATTTGAATTGATCAAAGCTGGACCTGGGAAAACTGGTGTGTTTCCAGTTTACGCCTTCTTCTGGGTTATAGCCTTTTGGGGTCACTATTCATATCTGGACTTACCAGGGATATTCCCCTGCCCCTACCTTTATTTGGATGCTGAACTCCTGTTTTTGTTCCCTTTAGTTGTCCTATGAGTCAATCAAAATTTATGCTCAGCTTGTCAGCCTGACAGCTGTTTCTTAACTATTAGACAAATGAGACTAAGGGAAAAGTAGTCCCAAGTGTGGGACTTAACCTTTCTGAGTTTGCTTCTCTTAGATTTTGGTCCTATAAATGTTTATTTTCCTGTTTGCATTTTTTTCTTAAGAGACATGATTTGTATACTTTGTCCAGCTTTTCTGTTTCTTTGTAGGACGTGATCAGAATTATCTAGATTACCATTTAAATTAAACATTTATACAAGTAGTGCATGCATATATTACCAATATGTAGAGAAGTACACAGAATTAGAATTGAAGGTCTTACCATTCCTAGGCCAAACCAGTTCCTCATCCCAAGGTAACTACTGTTATGTTTAATGTACTATTTATGGTCTCTTTCTTCCCCACAGCCCATCAAAAAAAAAAAAAAGTTTTCTTCATTTTGGGGGAAAAAATCTCAGATTTGATGAATTGCAGATTTGCCTCAAGTTTAGGTCAATATACTTGCATTCTGAGTTTAAGCTTATATATCAGGCCTGGGCCTTTCCATTTTTTTTCTTTTTCAATTTAAACTTAGCACTTAATGACAAGTAAAAATTCTTTCCATAGCATGACTTCGTATAATCTTTATCATTTAAAAATCTAAAAACTTTTTATTTTGTAATTTTAGATTTATAGGAAAGTTGCAAAGATGATACAAAAACTGTATATATATGTTTCACTTAATTTTTCTTAATGTTAACATCTTAACCATGATACATTTGTCAAAACTAAGAAATAAACAGTGGCACATTACTATTAAACTGCAGATGTTATTTGGATTTCACATTTTTCTACTCATGTCCTTTTTTTTTGTTCCAAGATCTAATCCGTGATACACTGTTGCATTTAGGGCCTTTCTATCTTGAAGGCTCTGAGCAATTTCCATGCATACTAAGAGGTTCCAGAAGTCCAGTTAGTGATGAATTTGGAATAGATATAATGATTTATATATGAGAGTCTATGCTTGGGGATTTTCAGTAGTTACTGTGGTATCTAAGAGGGTTAGGTTGGTTGATACCTAGGGTAGGTCTTGAAGATTGCTCTTGCTTTATAGCAGGGTTTGAATTTCTAGCCTTCATGTCTGGCACTTTGATGTATGATTTATCTAGAGTTGATCGTTGATCAGACTTGGGAAAGAGGGTATTGATGCTCAAACTTATTTAAGAAATTCAGTTTCTTAACTGGTAATAAGAAGGTTCTAATAGGAAAGACTGGAGAAAGTAAGTTAAGACCAGAAAGTGGTTCGAGAATGTCAGAGTCAAATGCAGTATTTTCCTAAATACATTCCTTGAACACCACTTCTGTAAGATAATATGTATGCCTAAAAAAAATGGGTCCCATAGTCATAAACGTTTGAGGAACTCTGAGAATAAAGTAAGGTAAAAATATTTCTTAATTCCAGGACTTATTAGTGCCTTTGATATGATAATGTGATGTGTACATCCCCCAGAGAAGGATATATTAAGAAGAATTTCCAAAGCTTACTGATAACATAGTTCTTTTTCTTTTTAAATTAACTCAATTAAATGGTAGGTGTAACCATCTTACAGAATACTTTTGGGAGACCTTGGTTAAGGAAAGCCCTTTCAAGGAAGTAACAACCTTACTGAAATCTTTCATATATTTTTGATAACTACACAGTTTGATTCAGCAAACATTTATTGAGCATGTTCTGTTTGCTAGGTTCTATTGCCAGGTCACATCATCCTGAACCAGACACAATGTGGACTTCGATCAAGTCCCATACTTACTTCCCTTCTCCAGTTAACTTCTGTTCTTTAAGTCAAATAAATGTTTAAAACTTTAAATGCATGGTTGCTTTGAAGTCAGAACCGTTAGCATTAGGTACTACTCTTTAACTCCTGCTAACTTCTGGTTGTCTATATTTCTGATCAGGTGAATGGTGGCCCCAGATACTGAAACCACTTATCTCATACTCTGTCATTCCTCAGGAGATTGGTGCTACTCCCACCCTCATTTAAGTAGTTGCTAAGGCAATTGTGACTATTTATTTTCATGGATGCCTCCTTGTATTTTAATTATAAAATATGCCCTATCTTAACTGTCCATAATAAATCTGGAAGGTTGTATTCTTTGGGCAATTTTTTTTTCATTAGATTTGCCCCCTCTTTTTTATTGAACTGATTATGTAACAATACTAAATTTTTAAAAGTCTTTTTAATTCTGTTTAATAAATATTTTCATTTTTTCTCTATTTGCCTTTGTAGGGAAAATGGAAGTTCCTATGGCCAGGATCCTCACCCTACCCTAAACTACTTGATGATGTAATTGGCCTCCTGCTAGGCTAATGCTTCCACACCCATTAGCTGAGCTATTATTGACTGAGTCACTAACTAATGAGCTATGCCCAGATCTATGCTCTGGGAAGAGGCAGAGACAGTGGATTATGGACCTGCAGACTGCTGGATACAGACATGATTCTAGTGCTTGATCTACCATCATGAGAATAAAGTCAGGTACAAACTCTTTTACCCCAAGTACATTCCATAGTCATTTCTCGGTCTCACCAAATCTGTAGTGAACTTGCCCAGGGCTGAAACCCTCAGGCAAGACAGTCTTGTGTTTTGCTAATTTTTACTTAACATTATAAACATTTTCCTACTTTTTAAACATAGTCTTCATAAGTTAACAACTTTGAAATACTTTGTTGTTATATCACCATTAAATTAACGGTTTCCTCAATTTGTACATTTAGGGTGTTTAAATTTTTTTCTATTGAGAATAAACTTGCAGTGAGTATCTTTGAGCATGTGGCTTTTGGTTTTATTGAGTTAGTATATTATGCTACTTTACCAAGTATGGAATTACTTGGGCAAAGGGTATAACTATTATTATTGATTTTGCCACATAACAATTGTTATTAAAGACAAATTGCAGGGAAAGTATAAATAGCTCTTTGGTTGGTTTCTCATATACATGTCTGTTTTGTTTTCCTTAATAATCCAGTGTTTGTAGACCTGTTCATGCAAGCAACACTTAAGTTCAGCTGGTGGTCATCAACGTGTTAATTGATTACTAAGGTGTCAAGGTGTAATTTCTTTTGTCAGTGACTTCTGCAAAGCCATCAGATAAGTTTAAAGTTGCCCTGGATTCTTCATTATGTTTCAGACTTGGGGTCTTTAGATCTGTCTTACCAATGAGTTTCAGCCCAGGACAGGTTCACTATGGATTCAATGAGACTGAAAAGACACTAGAATGTTCTTGGGGTGAAAGGGTTTATACTCAACTTTATTCCCACCGTGGCAGGTAATCACTAGAATGCCGTCCACTCAGAGCAAGTTTGCATGCAGCAAGCTGGTCTCTACCTCCTGGCATCTCTGCCTCTGGGCCTCTCTGTCCTGCAGCCGTCTGTCTCTGTCCTCGACGTACTGCCACCACTCCAGTCTCTGCTCTCCTGCAGCCCTGCAGCCCAGAGCACTGGGCGCAGCTCTTTATATAGAGTCAATAATAATGTATTGCCCACACGTGTGTAGTGAGCCAGCCGACCAGAGCCAGGTGAGAATCCTGGCCATAGGAACCCTTACTTTCTCCACAAGATCTCTTCATCTTATTTCACAGTCTGTGCTGGGCAAGTGCAAGTAGTGATTCAAATGATTTTTGTTTGTAACTTCCCTTCTGTAGCTTTGATTAGGTTTCTAAGAGACTACATTTTCTTTCTCAATTTTTAAGAAGTTTCAAGAATGATTTGGGAAAAGCATTAACTTTATTCTATTACAGGGGAACATTGTTCTTACAGATTATGAGTACCTCATTTTAAATATCCTAAGATTTCGAACCGATGAGTCAGATGATGTTAAATTTGCCGTTCGTGAACGCTACCCAGTTGATCATGCTAGAGCTGCCGAACCTTTGCTGACCTTGGAAAGGTAACATACTTTGTTTATAAGCTCATTTCATATTGTATTTAAAGGTAAATAAGTCATATTTCAGAATATGAGAGAACTACCACTTAAGAAAATTTTTTGTTTACTTGCATAAACGAATTAAGTTTGGACTGCTTGAACTACATAAATGTGCATGTAAGCAACTCAGCTTTATTTCGAAGTAGCAAATTCATGTCTTAATACAAGTTTTGTGTCACTTCAGATGTTTATGAATTCTTGGTAAAATGAGGAGACTTACTATTTTGTGAGAAGATAGGTGGATATCATGGGCAGAGTGCAAAGGAGATAGAAATTTAGCTAAGAAGGAAGTATGGTAGGATAAGGTGCTAATTGTAGCTGTATTCTTGCTGGAAGACTGCAGAGTAATAGGCTACAGCAGTGGTTCTTGAAGTTTAGTATCCATCAGAATCACCTGAAGGGCTTGATAAACAGATCTTTGCCCACTGAGTTTCTGCTTCAGTAGATCAGGCATAGGGCCCAGGAATCTACAAGTTCTCAGGTGATGTTGATCCTGATTTGGGGACCATAGGGGCCCCATAGCCGACTTAAGAGTTCTTATTTTAGGTAAAGCCATTTTGGGTATTAAGATATATCACCAGGCTCCATAAACAGGTGTTAAGATGTATCACCAGGCTCCACAAACAGCATTTACCTGTTGCATAGAAATGTCTCTTTCATGTCATATATGGGTAAATTGATGATTAGCAATATGACTTAGTTGAAAAAGTATTGATTTTTTTAATAGCAAACCTGGTTTCAAGTTCCAGTCTACTTTTCAGAAAGTTACTAACCTTGGATTGATTACTTTTATGACCCGTTTTCTTACAAAGGGAACTAATTCCTCTTACATTTTAGAGTATTGTGAAGATCAGGTAAAAATCATCCCATATGAAAGAATTGGGAATATGAATATTGCTGTAAGGTTCATTAAATAAAAGATAGTAAGAGGAGTGTCAATTTTGTTTCACAGATTGACAGAAATAATAGCCAGTGCACCTAAGGGTGAACTACTGAAGAGAGTTCTTAACCCATTACTTCGTGAGTAATCCTACATAGAGCAATGAAATGGTTGCAAGATGGTTTTTAGGACTTATTTACATCTTTTATAATTCTAGTAGAAAATTACATAATAAATTTTGAAAGGGGTTTTAAATTATCTTTTGAGTAAATAAGAGTTTATTTTCAAGGGAAGAGAAATTTGTTATACCACATGAAGTTTGACCTTTCGAAATTGCTTAGATTTTATTTAAAGTAATATTTATATAAATTAATAGTATGTTATCTAGCACTTTGGTGCTAGCTGTAATATTCTAGAAATCAGTTTTTTTCATTGTGAATCTTCAGCTTAATAATTATTTAGCTGGTTGTTGTTTTCCTTGTAATTGGTGGGTGGTCTCAGGGCATCCCAGTATCTGCCAGGTACTTTTTTGATAACCAGGACAAAGATAATCCAGCTAACTTTCATACTGTGATAAAATCATTATTTATCCCTGTGCTAAGGAAATCAGGGGAGAACATATGGGCAGGCAAGTACCCTTGATTTCTGAACATTGTAGAGTTATTCTTCCTCTCCTATGAAATTAGAATGCATTTAAAAATTGTCTTTAGAACTTCCCAACTGTTAGTATAGGATGCATAAACTTTGTAAGTTTGATTTTGTTATTCTTTATTCTTATTATACAGTATATTACATTAATCAATTTTTCATTGCTACACCAACTTGCATTCCTGTTCTATCATCCCTTTTATATGTGGCTAAATTCCATTAAATTTCTATAACATTTTTACTGACTTATACAAATTTATTCTAGTCTCAAATTTTTATAAGTGTTGAATTGTCATTTCTAATAATATTTCAAAATAAGTAAACTTACATTCACTGGCTACTGGAGATTCAGTATCATTTATTTTGGGATAGAAGTTCATTATTATATTTTGAATGTTAAATTTTATAGGAAGATACTAAAAATAATACCTTTTGCTTTTATAGCATATGGACCAGCTCTCATTGAACACTGTCTTATAGAAAATGGATTCTCTGGCAATGTCAAAGTGGATGAAAAATTAGAAAGTAAAGGTATGCCTGCATGCTACAGATTTTGCTCATTTTCATTTATTTTTAAAAACTATGAAAATTTTTAAAAACTATGAAATGAGCAGGTAGTTCTAGACTTAAGAATTTAAGAATCTGACCTATGCATGTTCAATCCACATGGTATTCTGGTTTCCTAGTCTAATATGGCACTTTATCCCTAGTAACATGTAGTTCAATTTCTTGACATACCTTATTACTTTTCAACTTCAGAATATTCTCTTCCTCTTCCTAAATTTTTGAAGTGGTCACTGAACTTGAGACATTTTCTGGTATAGGCTTGAAGGAGTTGAATTATTTATCTTCTGACTCAGAACCTAGAGTGCTGCTAAAAGTAACATTCTTCATGCATTTTAATTTTGTAAGTACTGTAGTGTGGCCATAAGATGAATTAGGCTTTGTAAATACTAAAGGGAACCAACTTACTTGCCAGATGAGGACAGTAAAAAATTAGAGGAAATACAAGGAAAATGGAAGATTTAGTCTGACAAATTTTTACTTGCAGATTCTCATGTAAAATTAAAAAAAAACCTTCCTTGATATTTATATTTTGGAAGTCATTTAAAGTTTAGGGATAATAACTTTTATGCTACGATTTTTTTCTGTGTGTTTAAAAGCACAAATTGAATGTTTTAGTGAGTGATTTGATGCTAATTCCTTGTAATCTTGATCAAAATGCCTGTAAGTGGTACTGTTTTTGCTATTGCAGTTTTGTTTTAAATAAAATGAGTCTGATATTCATGTGGAATAAAAGCATGCAAAATGTTTAGGAAAACTCTGGAAAGTAGTAGTTATGTTGGAGAATAACCTTTCACTGATTAAAATATATCATGAAGCTATAGTAATTAATACGTTTTTGAAGAAGGAATAGACACAATAAGGAATTCAGAAATAGGCCCAAATATATATGGGAATTCCGAATAAAATGCCTTTCAGATAATGAGAGGAAAGATGGATTCAATAAAAGCTATTTATTGGACAATAGGCTGGTCAAAATGTCCTGGTTTTCATATGCAGATTATATTGACATTCTGATTACAAACATGAAATAACTATATCTAATTTTCTTGAATACTTATTATTTCATAAGCACACTTCTGTTTTCTACATGTTTGTTTAATAGTAGTTAATTGGCAAGTGATTGGCACTCCCATTTTCCTTTTTTTTTCCCCCATTAGATATTGAAAAAGTACTTGTTTGTCTGCAGAAAGCTGAAGGCTATATGAAAACAACGTCCAGCTTCAGTGGAAAGGTTAAGCATCACATACACTTACTGTATAATGTTGTGGTTTTATTTATTTACATTTTCAGAATTTAAATTTTCATTAAAGGATTGATATAAATGTTGTAATTTAGAAATATGACATCTGTAATATGCTTATTCTAAGGTATTTTTTTAAATTGCTGTTGGTTTGTAATTTTTGTTCTGGTCCTTACCTTTTACAGAAAATCCTAGGTAGAGTTAATAGTATCATTCCAGAAAAGTTGAGGAATTTGAAAATACTTTTTCATATATTGTTTTTAGATAGAGAAGTGCATTTTAATTTGCTGGCATTTTAAAAAAATTTGGTGATTTACATCCTTCTAATAAACATCCTCTGAATTACCTCATACCTTGTTTTTCTTCCCTAATCAAAATATAACTAACAAAAAAAATTCGGGAAGAGTTTTGGCTGAATTCAGGCCAAATATACCTGCCCAATTTTTAAAATGAATTAAAATTTCCTTCCAACAAAGTGAAATATTTCTTCTGCTGGAAGTAAAGTGCTTTTGGCATTTTTAAATTGCAGAGTATCTAAAAATGTAAAGAAAAAAGCCAGAGGCACATGCATAATCCCACGACTTTATCAAATCACTAGTTTTCATTTTCTTTATTCCCTGTTTTTTCTTCCTCTAATGAATAAACCAGTGTTTTCTAATAATACTGAGTCTAACTAAAAACCATTCTTTTGAGAAGTGGTACAATCAGCAGACAAAAGCAGCTGACTATAACCAGAATAATTTTGTAAGTTAAATTAATAAAATTAATAACAGTCATAGAAAATAACCTTTGTTAAATGTAGGTAGAAATGAGTTTCAATGTTGGATTTTTGTAGGGGTATATCATTCAGAAAAGAGAAATAAAACCAAGCCTGGAAGTAGATAAACCAACTGAAGACATACTCACGTAAGCATGTAGGCATGGATCAATTTGCTCTGGAGGTTTATTAATGTTCTTGAATGTGATATAAAAAATATGTTTTACAGGTATGAGGAATTTCATCCTTTCTTGTTTTCTCAACATTCACAATGTCCATATATAGAATTTGAATCATTTGACAAGGTGGGTTTTCTGATTCTGTTTTTTGACCAATTGTCATGTCTTGCTAAATTAATATCAACTTGCTTTAATTAAGAAATTGAAAATTCTTTTTTGCTTTACAGTTTCAGTGAATCTGGGCATTAAAAATCAGTGCAGTCACAGATACAAACTGTTGGAAACATTTATTGCCACTTTTATTTCAAGATGAAGGACCAAAAATTTGAACTTAACTTGATTCTTGACTTTAGCTGTGTAACACATTTACTAGAAATCTGCTTAAGTTCTTTGGGTGGTATTATGAAACAAAGTGGACTTTAAAATTCTGTATGTACAAGTTGAAATAGAGATCATACTCTTTTTTCAGCTAGTTACTGTCCTTTTTTTTTTTTTTTAATAAGGCTGTGGATGAATTTTATTCCAAGATAGAAGGTCAGAAAATAGATTTAAAAGCTTTACAACAGGTATGGTATTATTAAAAACATTTATGTTAAACCATCTAGCGTTAGCATAGATTGCTGGGTTGACAATGTCTTCTTGTAGTAATAGGCAGCTTTCAGAAGCAGTATGGGAATGCTCTGATAAGGGCTGGTGGGGCTCAGTATTGAAAAGCATATCCTCATTTGTTCCATGGGTGTGTCAGATAATCTCCCAAGTGGAAAATACAGTGGGAAGGTGAGGCTGTTATTTATGATTTGCTTTAGTAAAATAACCCAAAGCTTTTCAAACTTTGATGTTAAGGGAATACTGTTCTAAGGAGATTTGTAAATAGGCCAAAGTAGAGGAAAAAGTATTTTTTTCTGTACAAACAAGTATATTTGTTTAAACTGTTTTGTTTTGTTTTTTAGTGGATTTTTAAACCAGTCCTTTAATATACTTTGCATGTGTCATGACTCCACACAGCACTTTGGCTGGTTAACATATTTGGCTGTCACATTGAACCCTTTGGTTTTTTTATATGCATCAGAATCCCCATAAATTACTTTAGTAATCATTGTGCATTCTTTTAATAGTCACTATTCTTATAATTTAAATCTTTTTAATATGGCATCTAGCATTCAGATATTTATGAATTGGTGACGCTCTTACAAGTGTTAAAATATTTGCCCCAAAATCAATAATCTTGAAATATAAATTATATATGATAAAATGCTATAAAAAAGGCCAAATTACTACCATGAGCCTTTGTGTTGTTAAACTGAGGGAAAAAAGTAGTCTGTAAAATACTAGAAATAATGCTGAGACAGTTAAAAGCAGCAATAAAATAAAAAGAAGCTACTTTGGTAATTTGTGCTTTCTAAGAATGCATTCCCCCAAATTTTACTTTTTTGTCATAGGAAAAAAATATCTTGAATTCTGCCTACTTGAATAATGCAAAGCATTAGGGGAATATCTTACATGTAATGTAACCTGTAAGCAAAATACCTTCTAATACAGGGAATGGGAAGCAGGTGGACAGAGAGGTAATTTTGGAGCATGAAACACTTTGGGGTAGGATGGACATGGGGAGGTAGAACTTAGATAGCTAGGTAACAACGTTGAGGGGATAGCAGTGGGAATGTGATAGTGAGTTTCAGGAGGTAAGAGAAAAGGTGCAGGAGGTAGGAGAAATACAATTTTTTGAAAATCTGTTTTATCCACAAAAGGAAAAACAAGCATTGAAGAAATTAGATAATGTCCGAAAGGATCATGAAAACAGATTAGAAGCTCTTCAGCAAGCTCAGGTATCATGTTTAGCTCTTTCAGATGCTTTTTTAGAAGTGGTAACTTTAACTGGCATTATAGTGAATGTTTTTGGTTTATTTTTTAAGGAAATAGACAAACTTAAAGGAGAGCTCATAGAAATGAACCTACAGATAGTTGACAGAGCCATTCAGGTTGTTCGAAGTGCTTTAGCCAATCAGATAGATTGGACAGAAATTGGGTTAATTGTGAAAGAAGCCCAAGCTCAAGGAGACCCTGTTGCGAATGCAATCAAAGAATTAAAACTACAAACAAATCATGTTACAATGCTGCTAAGGTAAGTTTGATTCTTAGTTAAGTAGCTGGTGCTTGTCTTTATTTTGCTTTTAACTATTCACTCTATTAAAATTTTTTAATTTTATTTGGAAATTTATCCTTGAAGATACAGAAAAAAATTACATGAAAATAATGCTAATATTTAAATTCTGTAAACCATTTATAATTTCATTGAGGAAGATCGAAAATAAAAAAGTGATGTCATTGACATTAGTGAAATACTATTGGATATTTTTAATAGAAATCCATACTTGTTATCAGAGGAGGAAGATGATGATGTTGATGGTGACATCAGTGTGGAGAAAAATGAAACCGAACCACCAAAAGGAAAAAAAAAAAAGCAAAAGAATAAACAGCTGCAGAAGCCTCAGAAAAATAGGCCATTACTTGTTGATGTTGATCTCAGCTTGTCAGCATATGCCAATGCCAAAAAGTAAGTCTTAAATTTAAGTATAAAGTTTAGGTAAAATACCAGCTACAGTAAAAAGGGTATTAAGGATAAGAAGAATCATTATTTGCCTGTATATCCTTGGGTGAAAATACTTATTAAAATCTCATTTTGTTCATTATACAACTTTGTTTTCAAACAGAACATATAAAACAAAGTTGCATGATGAACAAAACTTATGTGTATGACTTGAGAGTCTAAAATTAGAGATAACATAATTAGAAAACTAAACAAAAATTTGCTAAAATTACAAGAAATATATTTTTCTAGGTATTATGATCACAAGAGATATGCTGCTAAGAAAACACAAAAGACTGTTGAAGCTGCTGAGAAGGTACTTAATATTTCTTAAAGTGAATATTAATAGTTTTTCTCTGCTTTAATGGCCTTAATTCTTCTGTTTAAATGCAGTTTTCTAATTCAGAAATATCTTTCAAATTTAATTTTGCTTTAAATGTGTGTTTCCAGTATTTATTTTCTTCCCCAAACTTATTCATTCCCAATCCCATCTCAGCAAATAGCCCTTTGATTTCTCCATTTGGTCAGGTCAGAAATGTTGGAGTCATCCTGGAATTTCTGGCATAAAACCATATTCAATCCACGAGCAATTCTTTTTGGCTCTTCCTTTAAAGTATAACCAGTCTGATGATTTCTCATTAGCCCAGGCCTCTGTCATCTCTATTCACATGGCCTATAACAGTAGCCTCTTACTGGATCTCTCTCCTCTTACCCTTTCCTCGTGACAGTCTGTTCTTCACAAAACAGCCACAGTGATCTTTTTACTTAAAAAATGAAATCATTTTTTTCTTTTCAAAATCTTCCACTTCCCATCTTACTCAAGACAATTCAAAGGCCTTCTCCTGACCTATAAGGTCCTATGTGATTTGCACTCCTCTGATCTCATTACCTGCATGCCTCTTGTTCCATGCTTTTTCCAGCTACACTGGGATCTTAGCTGTTTCTATAGCAGTGGCCCATACTGCCTTCTCAGGGCCTTTGCACTTTCTGCTCCAGTTTCTACTGGGAATGCTCTTCCCTCAAAATTTCCATGGCTTGATCCCTCCCTTCATTCAGCTGTCTACTTATATGAGGCCCTATCAGAGAGACCTGTCTTGACCACTCTTACTTAAAATAGTACTACCTTCAATCACTCCCTCTTTACTCTGTTTTTCTTCTTAAAAAACACCCCTCCCAACATGTGTTCATCTGTCTTCCCCTAGATTGTAGATTTCATGAAAGTACGGCTTTTTGTGTGGTTTGTTCATTGCTATGTTCCCGTCCCTAGAATATTGCCTTGAAAGAACACAGTTGGATTAATAGCTGTTAAATGAGTGGCCCTGATGACTTGGCCCTCTTTCTACCTCTCCAACCTCCTTTCTTGGCATTTTACCCTGTGATCACTGCTTGCTGATCAAGCTAGCCTTTTCTTTCTGATTATAGTGCTCTTCTTTCAGTTCTTTGCCTTGATAATTTCACTAATCCCTCAGGCTTCAGCCTACATGCATTTCCTCAGAAACACCTTCTTTGACCATAATCAGTTATAAGTTAGGTTTCCTATTTTACTCTCATAGCATCCTTAGATGCATCACCATGTTTATTTGAATAATTCTGTGTTGTATATTTGTCTCTTCTCCTAGACTCTGTGGGGTAGGGATGGAAACTTAGTCTTGTTCACTGTTGTATCCCCAGTATCTAGTTTAGAACCTATTTTTTGATAGGCACTCAGTATTTCTAAACAAATACACTTTTTAATTTGTAGTTCTGGGGCAAATACTTGTATACAATAAATCTTTTACTTAAGTTGTTTTAATACTTAAGGTGAAAGTCTTTTCATTTCTTCATTATTTTCATGTGAGTATGAGTGTGTGTGTGTGCTGATAGTGCATTTTGTGACATTTAAAAAATAATTTCTTGCCCTATCGTTTACTTGGTGTTATTTAAATTAGTTCTCAACAAATTATTTAAAAGCTCTTTTCATATAAATAGGCATTCAAGTCAGCAGAAAAGAAAACAAAACAAACCTTAAAAGAAGTCCAAACAGTTACCTCTATTCAAAAAGCAAGGAAAGTGTATTGGTAAGTTCTACTTTTTTCAAGTATACTTTTTGGTTTTATCAAAGTTATACATGCACATTGTTTAGAAAATCAAGCTATTTCTACAAAACCTGTTATAAAACCAGTAGCCCTGCATTTTTTTTTGCCCCTACTCCTATTGTGACCCCTTTCCCAAGGAAACTACTTTTAGCTCTCTTAGCTGATTTTTTGGCATACACCTCCTTTTCTCTTAGTAATATGCTTATATTGCTGCTTCTTAATTTTTCTGTTTTATACTCTATTACTAATTGCCCATCATGGAAGATGAAGATTTTACTCTTTCCACTTGTGCTCTGTTATATACACCCACACTACCCAGCCTCCCAGTATAGGTAGAGCAAATTTTGTCAAGGTTGATATTCAGCATTAATATTATTATGAATATTTAAATTATAGTCACAGATGAATCGTGCAGTATTGTTTTCTTTTCCTTCCCTGCTCAGTTTTTTGTCTTCTCTGAAGTAAGTAACCCTTATTTTGTTTGCTTTTTGTTGTTGTTGTTCTTACTATTAATTCATCTCCAAATTGTCTTCCAAGTGTGTTCAAACACATTGGTATTTTGTCAGTATCATTTGCAGTAATCTCTCCTGGAGCTTTTTGACTTGCTTTGATCTAGATTGGTTACTTTAAACATCTTAGGATCTCCATTTGTTATTATCCTGGAAGTTTTCTTTACCCTTCTTTGTGTGGGATTCTCTGTTCTGGATCTCATACTTTCTTTTTCTTGATTGATAGAGTATGTGTTCTAAAAGTTTCATGAGAATGGGTGTGTATAGGAAGTAAAGGTTTTGAGGTTTCCAATGTGTAAAAGTATTACTTTACTCTTCTACTTAATACTTTGTGGAGTATAGAATTCTAGTTTGAATGTATGTTTTTCTCTGACTTTTAAAGGCATTGTCCATTGTATTAACTTCCAGATTTGATCTTGGAAAATCTGATAACACTTTGGTAGTGGCTATTTATAGGAAACTCGTTTTTGTCTTTTTTGTAAGTTTGTGGATCTCTTTTTTCTTTTCAATTTACAAAATTTTACAGTGATGCAGATTGGTGAGGATGTTTTAAACATTATGCTGGATACTTGGGGAGCTTTATTAATTTGGAAATTTTCAGTTCTGAGAAATTCTCTTGAAACATTTCTTAGCAAATTGCCTGCCCTCTGTTTTGTTGTTGTCTTTCTTTCTCGAAGTCTAATTTTTTAAATATGGGACCCCTTGGATGGTCCTCCAATTTTTTTGTATTTTCTGTTTTTCAATTTTTATCTTGTTCTATATTCTGAAAGATTTCCTCAACTTCATCTATCAATCCTTCCATGAATTTTTTTATATCTTCCTATCATTTTTCTAATTTTAAGCTGTTGTTGATTCTTTGAGTCTTACTTTCTAAAAACTTCCTGCTCAGTTTCTTTATACTAGAATGGCTGAGGTGCATTAAATTTTATTTAGTATCCTTTTCACAGATCTCTGTCTTCTGCTAGTTTGTTTCGTTTTGTTTTGTTCTCTTTGTTGGTTTGGTCTCCATCATAAAGTCTCTGTTGGAGACACTGCTAATGTCTGGGGGTCCTGATGATTCCTGTTGTGAAGTAGAGCATTGAAGTGGTGATGGCAAGTTCTCTGCGGGTGGTTTATAAAATGATCTGAGTGGACCATTTTGTGTGAAACTGGATGTCTTTAGCTTTCTTCCTTTTCAGCTGGACTCATTTCCCAAAAAAATTGCTTAATCTCTCCTGCTTGTAATGTGAAGACTGGCTTGTCAGCGTTTTGGGAGCTCAGTGAGGATAATAGGCTGGGGAGTCTTAGTATCCAGTAGTTCATATATTTATTTCATTGCCCTGTTTTACATGTTTCCCTTACAACTGTGCCACATTTCCTCTAGTCTAGAGGGCAATTTTTTTTGTATCCCTTCCAGAGAATTAATTTCTGGCCTTCTATTAGACACTGGTGTGGAAGAGGGAGTTATCATGTTCAGAGCTGAAAAGAAGATCTAGCGAAGTAACTGCTTTTTGATCAGACTTTGAGCCAGTCCTGTTTTCAACCCCATCTGAAGCCTTACATTTAGCAGTACCAAGTGCTGCTATTTTTCAGCTTTTTCTAGGTCACACAGTGTAAATGGACTTGTTTCTTGGCTTTTTCCACTGCCAGCTCAAAATTCAGCATCTTGAGTCTGATCATTCATCCTTTATTTTACAGTTTTCAAAATTTTTTTGTTCCTCCCACCCCCACCCCCCATCTATGCTGGTGAATAGAATTGACCTGTGATCTTCACTTTTTAGAATGTTCTTGTTAGGTATTGGAATCAAGATTATATTACCCCATCAAACAAATTGGGAGGTATTCCTTTAACAGTTGTCCTTAAATGTTTTATGGAATTCACCTGTGAAGCTGGATAGTCCTGGAATTTTCTTTATGGAAAAATTTTCCATTAAAGATTCTAATTTTCAGTAGATAATAAGGATTATTAAGATTTTTTAGTTTTGGTTAGCAGTTGTTTTCTAAGACTTTGTCTATTTTATCTGAAGTTGAAATATACAAAAAAGTTTTTTAATATTCCCATGTAACTTTTTAAGATCTCTAGGATCTTTAATTAATCTTCCTTTTCATTCATGATAGTTGTTATTTGTGCGTTCTCTTTTTCTTGATTATTCTTACCAGAGGATATTCAATTTTATTTTCAGTTGTATTGTCTTTAAAGAACCAGTTTTTTATTGTTGATCTCCTCTATTAGGTATGTGTTCTCTGTTTTATAATTTTCATCCTTCTACTTTTCTTTGGGATTCATTTGTAGTTCCCTTTCTGATTTCTTGAGATAGAAACTTAGTTATTGATTTTTATTTTTACTCCAGCTTTTCTTTTTTTAATATATGTTTAAGGCAGAAATTTCCCTATAAGCCTGGCTTTAACTGCATCTAAAAGTTTTGTTATGTAATATTTTTATTAACTTTTATGTCAGAATATATCCTAATTTCTATTAGGATTTTTCACCCATGCATTATTAGAAGGATGTATTTATTAACTTCCCAACATGTGGGGCTATTTTTTTTTGTTACTGACTTCTAGTTTACTTTGTGTAATGGTCAGAGATGGTATTCTGAATTGCCTCAATTCTTTGACATTTGTTTTTGAAACTTGCCTTATGACCCAGCATATTTATGGTCAGCTTTAGTTACAAATGTTTCATATATAGTTGAAAAGAGTATCTATTCTGTAGTTGTTGGGTACATTTCTCTAAATATTCATTAGGTCACTTATTAATCATGTTCAAATCTTTGTCATTTTTACCAATTCTTTTAATGATTACCGAGAGAGGGGGTGTTAAATATCATACAATTGTGGATTTCTCTGTTTCTCCTTTTACTTTTGCCAGTTTTTGCTTTATATATTTGCTTTATATATTAGGTGATAAAATTTAGAACGGTTACATCTTCCTGGTGAACTGAGCCTTGTTATTAACTTTAATAAAGTGATCTTTTAGCTTGTAACTATTTTTTTCCTTCTGTGTGAGACATTAAAACTAAACAGCTTTCTTTTCGTTAGTGTTTGCATGGTATATTTTTTTCCATTACTATATTTCAACCTTTTTATATCCTTATATTTTAAAGGATTGTATATATCATTGTTATTTTCCAGTCTAACAGTCCTTGATTTTACCTGGAGAATTAACTACATTTACATTTAATGTAGTTTCTGATATATTTGGGTTTAAATATATGCATCTTACTATTTGCTATTTGTCTCATTTGCTCTGTGTTTTTTGTCTGCCTCATTGCTTTCTTTTAATTGATAGTTTTTGCTTTTTGGTCTGCTAGTTATACATTCCTTTACTAGGAAAATTACAAAATACATCCTTGATTTATATTTCTCACTTTGTCCTTTTGGGTTTATGTCTTTTTACAAAGCTCTTTATCATCAAAAAGTGAGTGTTTAAACAAGGATAGTACCTTCACTCAATGATGCGAGAAGATGTATTTTTAAATGAAAAAAGAAAGCCATTTCCAGAGCACTATCTGTGTGTCTAATAAAGAGAAAAGGTTTAGAATAAGCATTTAATTTTAGCTTTTGTATGTATACAGAAATTCTGGAGAAGAATACATAGGAGGCTAATCACAATGGCTGCCTGTTTCTTAGTGGTGATGAGAACTAAAGGGATGCAGGATCTCTCTGTATACTTTCTTATGTAATTAAAAAATTTTTTGAACTACATATTATTCAAAAATCAGATTAGGAAATAGGGATAAAATCCTTTTTCTATTGCATTTTGCAAATATGAGGTAGTGTAGTTTAATGTCTGCTCAATATCATCTTCAAACAAGTTTTTAAATTGTAGATTAAGTCATGAAGAATGTTATGGTAGTCATAGTATGTAATGTAGGAAATATTTGTGGTCATCTCTATTGCTTGTTATTTTCTAATGTCATACAAAAGTTATCTTTGAGTTTAAGAAGGCTATGTATATGAGAGGGAGATAAGGAGAGAACATTTCTCTTAAACAGAATTTAATTGCTTTCTTCTAAGATTGTCTTAAGAAAATCGGGGCAATTTGTATTACAGGTTTTCAAAAAATTCATCTTGATGCCTTAGGAAATTAAACCATCAAGTTATCTTAACCTACACAAGCAGGATAGCTTTATGTTTTGTTTTGTCTGTAAAAAGGGTATGAATTCAGGTGACTATAAAGGAAAAGAAATGTTAACTTTTTTTCTTCGATTTGACAGGTTTGAGAAATTTCTGTGGTTCATTAGCTCAGAGAACTATCTAATTATAGGTGGACGAGATCAGCAACAGAATGAAATAATTGTGAAAAGATATTTGACAACAGGTAGGTAAGATGAAAATTCTAAAGAATTTTCTCTTAATTAGATCGGTTATCTCAGTATTAAATGTAGATTTTCATCTTATACTCCTTTGTTTGACAGAATTAGAGTTACATGCTTGATGGTTTACTAATTGCTGAATGTGTGCTTTGAAACTTAATTCTCATTAAAGTGAATATTCCTAAAGTAGTAATGTTGAGCTAATCTGCAGTATTGGACTTTTGATTTTTTTACTACATTAACAAAACTTTCAATCCTCCAAAGTCATTGTAGAGCAAATATGTAAAGGCTTATTTTTTCAGTGCTGAAGGTTATAACCTTTTTTTCACATTTAGAAACAGGACTTAAACTCTGTGGCATAGGCCTCTCATTTATTTTTATTTGTTGGCTGATCACTACCACCTCACTGGTTGAACCTTCAGTGTGGGTATCAGAAATCATTAATCAATATCAGAGTTAATCTGATGTCCACTAAAGATCTTGAACCAGGAAAGAAAGTAACAGGGTACATGGTCCTCATGGTTTGTCTCCTCTAGCTCTTTTCATTGAGCTGAGGCTGTTGTGGGGCAGTGTAGGTTTTGTTCTCTTTTGACTGCCCATAGAAAGCAATGACTGCTTGTTTTACCTGTTAGGAACCATGCACTTTCCTTTTCCTTGTTTGACCATTTACTGCTGAATTCATCTCTGCTCATTTGTTCATTCACGGCTATCACACACTTAGAATAAAACACAAAGTTCTTATGTCTTATAAGGCCCTTGGCTTCTTCTCCAGCATATTTCTTACCAGCATATTTCTTACCACTCTTCCCTCAGTTTGGTCTCCTGACTGCTACTTATACACATCAAAATCCACAGTCCTCAGTACCTTTGTGCTCCATGTATCTCTCATCTGCCAGCAGGGTAGCCTGGGCTTGCTTATGTGGTAAAGCATCTCAGCAGTTTCTGAGAGAAAAAAGAGGAGCACCCAAAACTTTCAAAGCCTGGGCTGGAAGCTGGCAATTAGTCACATCTGCCACATTCTACTGGCCAAGGCAGGTCACAGGGAAGGCCCACATTTAAGGGATGGGGAAGTGGGCTCTACTCCTTGATGGGAGAATCTTCAAGGTCACAGAGCAAAGAGGTGTAGATAGAGGGAGGGAAAGAACTGTAACCATTTTGTAATCCACCAATTAGCATTGCTTTCCTACAAGGAAGCCTATGAGAAATTACCCAGAGATGGGACATGGACTTTTCTTGATATGCTTTCTTATCCCTGTTAGATTTTGAACCCATTAAATAAACAAACAAATAAATAAATACATATATTCAACTTTAAAAAAGAAACAGGACTTAAAGTATCATTTCTTACTTGTTTTTAAGGGGACATTTATGTACATGCTGATCTTCATGGAGCTACTAGTTGTGTAATTAAGAATCAAACAGGTAATACATTTCTGTTATTCTGAACTTTAATTCTTCTCTTTAAGATATTTTTGACTATAAGACAAAATAGCTAAAGGGCAAAAATTGTTAATAGAGATGAAAAAGAACACTTTTAATGATAAAAACATCATTCCATCAGTAAGATATAACAATTATACATGCACCCAACAACAGAGCCCTAGAATACATGAAGCAAAACCTGACAGATCAAAGGGAGAAATAGACAATTCAACAATAATAGTTCAGTTCTTCAGTACCTAACTTTCAATCATGGATACCATAACTAGATACAGTACTAATAAGAAAACAGAAGATTTGAAGAACACAATCAGTTAACTAGATCTAACACATATCTCTAGTACACTCCACCTAACAACAGGAGATTGATTAGTCATTCTTCTCAAGTACACACAGAACATACTCCAGTATAAACCATATAATAGTCTATAAAATAAGTCTCAATAAATTTAAAACTATTGAAATCATACAAAGTTAATTTTCTGGCTATATTGGAGTGAAATTAGAAGGTGCCAATAGAAGAAAATTTGGGAAATTACCAAATGTGTGGAAATTTAAATAACACACTCATAAATAACCAGTGGGTCAGAGAGGAAATCACAATGGGTTAGAAAATACTCTGAGATGAGTGAAATGGAAACACACTGTATTAAAACTTATGAAATGCAACTAAAGAAGTGTTCAGAGAGAAATTTATAGCTGTTATGCTTATAATAAAAAGAAAACTATTGTATACTTGAAATCATTATAATATTGTTTATCAACCATATTTTTTTTAAAAAGTAACAAAACTACATGGTATGATCTAGAAAAAGAAAAGCAAATAACCCATAGTGAGAAAAGAAGGAAATAAGAAAAACACAGTAGAAATAAGTGAAACACAGTATAGAAGAATAGAGAAAATCAAACCACAAACCAAGTTTGGTTCTCTGGAAAGATCAACGAAGCCAATCAACTTTCAGATAGACTGACCAAAAAAATAAGATTCCAATTCAGGAATGAAAGAGGGGATATTATGACCAGCTTTACAGAAATCAAAAGGATAAATTAAAAAATAATAAGGAAATGTACACAAGCTTCCTCTTATAAAATACCATTTTAGAGTTACTTGTGTTCTGCCATGTGGTTATAAGACAATAGAACTTAGTTTTTGCATATGTGGCCTCTTTATCTGAAAAGGGAACTTTTCACATTGATAAACAGTCATATCCATAGTCTGTACCTGAAGCATTTACTAAATTATGTCAGAAGCTACATTCGTAGGGGAAAAAAGGATTAGAAGGACATACTATGTACAGTTATATATGGCAACAAATTAGGTATCTAGATGATTGGGGCAAATTCCTAGAAAAACACAAATTACCAAAGCTTACTGCAGGTGCAGTAGAAAAATCAAAACAAACCTGTAATAAGTAGGTTTTATTACAAGATTGGATTAGTAAGAAAAAGAAAAACAACTCTGCTCACAAAAATAAGATCAGACCCAGATGGCCGCACTGGTGAATTCTACCAAACTTTTAAAGAAGATTGAACATCAGTCCTTTACAAGCTCTTCCAAATAAATGGAAGAGGTGAGAACACTTCTGAACTTGCTCTATAAAGTAGGTATTATCCTAATAAAAAAACCAGACAAAGACATCATAAGAAAAGAAAACTACAGACCATTATTGCCTATGAATATAGACAAACATCCTCAACAAATTGTTAGCAAACTGAATCCAGCATTATATTAAAAGACTGTATACCATGACAAAATGGGATTTATCCCAGGAATGCAAGGCTGGTTTAACTTTTGAAAATATATGTAATATAGTCTGTTAGTGAATAAAGGAATAAAGGATAGTAACCACATTATCATCTCAGTGGATGCAGAAAAAGCCCTTGGCAGTAATCCAACACTGATTTGTGATTAAAAACATTCAAAGTAGGAATAGAAGGAAACTTCCTCAACTTGGTAAAGAACATCCATGAAAACCCACAGCTAACACAGTATTTAATGGTGAGACTGAAAGCCCTTCCCTTAGGATCCAGAGAAAAGATAAGTATGTCTGTCCTTGCCACTTTTATTCAATATTGTATTGGAGTTCTGAGTAGGCTGTCAGGCAATAAAAAGAAATAAAAAATATCCAGATTGGTAAGGACCAAGTAAAACTCACTTTTTTGTAGATGACATGATCTTAAATATTCCCAACCTTAAGGAATCCACCAAAAATTAATTAGTAAGTTCAGCAATGTCCAAGATGAAAATACAAAAGTTAGTTGTATTTCTATATACTATCAATGAACAATACTAAAAGGAAATTAATAAAACAGCCATTAATAATAGCATTAAAAAGAATAAAATACTTAGGAATAAACTTGCCAAAAAGAAGTGCAAGACATATACCCCAAACTATAAAACATTGTTGAAAGAAATTAAAGACTACCTAAATAAATGGAAAGAGTCAGTGATTGTGGATTAGAAGTCTTAATATTGTTATGATGGCAACACTTCCTATATTAATATGCAGATTCAGTGCAATCCCTCTTGAAATTCCAGTTGCATTTTTTTTTATAGAGATGGGCAAGCTGATCCTAAAATTCGTATGGAAATGCCAAGCACCCAGATTAGCTAAGTCATTCTTGAAGAACAAAACTGGAGGATTTCACTTCCTGATTTCAAAACCTCCTACAAAGCAACAGTAATCAAGACACTGTGGTACTGGCATGAAGATGGACAGATAGATCAGTGAAGAGAATTGGGATTCCTTGTTTATGATCAGTTGATTTTCAACAAGGGTGCCAAGGCCATTTGATGGGGATAAAGTAATATTTTCAATAAATGGTACCGGGACTAATATCCATGTGCAAAAGAATGAAGTTTGACCCCTACTTCACACCATTTACAAAAATTAAATGCCTCAAAGACCTAAGGTAAAACTATAAAATTTATTTAAGGTAAAACTATAAAATTATTAAAAGCAGGTATGGTGTAAGTCTTCATAATTTTGGGCCTGGAAGTCATTTTGTAGATATGGCACCAAAAACATAAGCAACCAAAGAAAAAATAGATAAATTGGACTTAGTAAAAATTAAAAACCTTAATTCAAAGGATACTATCAAGGAAGTGAAAAGGTAACCCTCAGAATAGGAGAAAATATTTGCAAATCGTTTATCTGATAAAGGACCAGTATCTAAAAAACTCTTAAGATTCAACAAGAAAAAGAAAAAAAATTTCCAATTTAAAAATGAGCAAAGGATTCAAATAGATTTTTTCCCAAAGATTCACAAATGGCTAATAAGCACGATAAGATGCTCAGCATCACTCGTCTTTAGGGAAATGAAAATAAAAAGCACAGTGAGATACTACATCACACCCCGTAGAACTGTTATCATGAAAAAAACAGACAATAGCAAGTGTTGGTGAGTATGTGGAGGGTTTTGAGTCCTACATTGCTGGTGGGAATGGAAAACGATGCAGCTTCAATAGAAAATAGTTTGGCAGGTCCTTAAAGAATTAAACACAGAATATACTATGTGACCCAGGAATTCCACTCTTAGGTATATACCCAATATCACTGAAAGCATGTACACATAAAATTGGTTTGCAGATATTTGTAGCAGCATTACTTACAATAGCCAATGAATGGAAACAATGCAGATGTCTGTCAGTTGATGAATAAACAAAATATGATTGTATCCATGTAATGGGTTGTTATTCAGTCTTAAAAAGAAATGTAGTGCTAACACATGCTTTAAAATAGATGAACCTTGGAAACATGCTAAGTAAAAAGTCAGACCCATATGATTCCTTTTATATGAAATTACAAAATAGGAAAATCCATAGAGACAGAAAGTAGATTAGTGATTGCCAGGGACTGGAACAATGGAGCTAATAATGAATAAAAGATTTCTTTTGAAGATGATGACAATGTTCTGGAATTAGTGGAATTGCATCGCTTTATGTATATACTAAAAGTCGCTGAATTGTACACTTTATAAAAGGTGAATTTTATGGTTTGTAAATTACATCCCAGATAAAGAATATATGAGACCTAACTGTAGGAATATATTAATAATATGATCTTCATTTTGAGGGTGTAGGTGATCTGTAGTAATTCTGCAAGTTTTCTAAACTTTCAGTAGATATTTCTAAATTATCCTTTCTGGAATGAAGTTAGAATTATTGATATAAGTGAGGATATTTCTTCTCTGACTTGTTTTATTAGACCTTTTAAAAGTTGGCTGTGTAAATACATTTTTAATACAATCGTCCTTTAATATTGAAGTAAAAATGTGGCATTAGTGTTTAAGCTATAAGAGGGTGGTGCCTGTCACGCTGCATGTAATGCTCATATCTTGTTCTGTAGAGAGTCTATGCTTTGGTAGTGAAGTGTCGTATCATTGCTGCAGGAGAACCAGTGCCCCCTCGGACTCTGACTGAAGCTGGCACAATGGCACTTTGCTACAGTGCTGCTTGGGATGCACGTGTCATCACCAGTGCTTGGTGGGTGTACCATCACCAGGTAATGAGGGCTGTGGTCCTTTTCCTTAATTTATTAAGACCTACTGTGTACAAATTTTGAGGACATACAAATGAAGAAGGCAAACAACAGTACCTACCTTGATAGAGCTGATGTTTTGGTGTTGAAAAAAAATATACATAATGTCAAGTAACAAGTGCTATAAAGTTTGTGTTTTTTTTAGTCAGAGTAAGGAGAGAGAGTGGTAGGGACTACCATTTTGAATAAAGCATCAGGGAAGGCCTTTCTGGGAAGATAAGATTTGAGCAGACTCCTAAAATGAAGAGAGGAGAGTGATGTATGTAGTTATGTGGCATAAAGAATGGGCCAGTTATGACTGGCACACAGACCTAAGAGGTGTCTCTCCTGTTCATCTTTGTTAGAGTTTTCTGAATTCTCTTGGCCCTTCTAGAAAAGTAGGTATATCCAGTGGTTTTTTTATTCACTTGGCTTTTAGCAATTGTCCTTCTTTGTGGTTAGTGCTCTTTGATTTGATGATACTTCATTCCATATTTGACTTCACATTGCTATTGATATGAAATCATTATAATATTGTTTATCAACCATATTTTTTTTAAAAAGTAACAAAACTACATGGTATGATCTAGAAAAAGAAAAGCAAATAACCCATAGTGAGAAAAGAAGGAAATAAGAAAAACACAGTAGAAATAAGTGAAACACAGTATAGAAGAATAGAGAAAATCAAACCACAAACCAAGTTTGGTTCTCTGGAAAGATCAACGAAGCCAATCAACTTTCAGATAGACTGACCAAAAAAATAAGATTCCAATTCAGGAATGAAAGAGGGGATATTATGACCAGCTTTACAGAAATCAAAAGGATAAATTAAAAAATAATAAGGAAATGTACACAAGCTTCCTCTTATAAAATACCATTTTAGAGTTACTTGTGTTCTGCCATGTGGTTATAAGACAATAGAACTTAGTTTTTGCATATGTGGCCTCTTTATCTGAAAAGGGAACTTTTCACATTGATAAACAGTCATATCCATAGTCTGTACCTGAAGCATTTACTAAATTATGTCAGAAGCTACATTCGTAGGGGAAAAAAGGATTAGAAGGACATACTATGTACAGTTATATATGGCAACAAATTAGGTATCTAGATGATTGGGGCAAATTCCTAGAAAAACACAAATTACCAAAGCTTACTGCAGGTGCAGTAGAAAAATCAAAACAAACCTGTAATAAGTAGGTTTTATTACAAGATTGGATTAGTAAGAAAAAGAAAAACAACTCTGCTCACAAAAATAAGATCAGACCCAGATGGCCGCACTGGTGAATTCTACCAAACTTTTAAAGAAGATTGAACATCAGTCCTTTACAAGCTCTTCCAAATAAATGGAAGAGGTGAGAACACTTCTGAACTTGCTCTATAAAGTAGGTATTATCCTAATAAAAAAACCAGACAAAGACATCATAAGAAAAGAAAACTACAGACCATTATTGCCTATGAATATAGACAAACATCCTCAACAAATTGTTAGCAAACTGAATCCAGCATTATATTAAAAGACTGTATACCATGACAAAATGGGATTTATCCCAGGAATGCAAGGCTGGTTTAACTTTTGAAAATATATGTAATATAGTCTGTTAGTGAATAAAGGAATAAAGGATAGTAACCACATTATCATCTCAGTGGATGCAGAAAAAGCCCTTGGCAGTAATCCAACACTGATTTGTGATTAAAAACATTCAAAGTAGGAATAGAAGGAAACTTCCTCAACTTGGTAAAGAACATCCATGAAAACCCACAGCTAACACAGTATTTAATGGTGAGACTGAAAGCCCTTCCCTTAGGATCCAGAGAAAAGATAAGTATGTCTGTCCTTGCCACTTTTATTCAATATTGTATTGGAGTTCTGAGTAGGCTGTCAGGCAATAAAAAGAAATAAAAAATATCCAGATTGGTAAGGACCAAGTAAAACTCACTTTTTTGTAGATGACATGATCTTAAATATTCCCAACCTTAAGGAATCCACCAAAAATTAATTAGTAAGTTCAGCAATGTCCAAGATGAAAATACAAAAGTTAGTTGTATTTCTATATACTATCAATGAACAATACTAAAAGGAAATTAATAAAACAGCCATTAATAATAGCATTAAAAAGAATAAAATACTTAGGAATAAACTTGCCAAAAAGAAGTGCAAGACATATACCCCAAACTATAAAACATTGTTGAAAGAAATTAAAGACTACCTAAATAAATGGAAAGAGTCAGTGATTGTGGATTAGAAGTCTTAATATTGTTATGATGGCAACACTTCCTATATTAATATGCAGATTCAGTGCAATCCCTCTTGAAATTCCAGTTGCATTTTTTTTTATAGAGATGGGCAAGCTGATCCTAAAATTCGTATGGAAATGCCAAGCACCCAGATTAGCTAAGTCATTCTTGAAGAACAAAACTGGAGGATTTCACTTCCTGATTTCAAAACCTCCTACAAAGCAACAGTAATCAAGACACTGTGGTACTGGCATGAAGATGGACAGATAGATCAGTGAAGAGAATTGGGATTCCTTGTTTATGATCAGTTGATTTTCAACAAGGGTGCCAAGGCCATTTGATGGGGATAAAGTAATATTTTCAATAAATGGTACCGGGACTAATATCCATGTGCAAAAGAATGAAGTTTGACCCCTACTTCACACCATTTACAAAAATTAAATGCCTCAAAGACCTAAGGTAAAACTATAAAATTTATTTAAGGTAAAACTATAAAATTATTAAAAGCAGGTATGGTGTAAGTCTTCATAATTTTGGGCCTGGAAGTCATTTTGTAGATATGGCACCAAAAACATAAGCAACCAAAGAAAAAATAGATAAATTGGACTTAGTAAAAATTAAAAACCTTAATTCAAAGGATACTATCAAGGAAGTGAAAAGGTAACCCTCAGAATAGGAGAAAATATTTGCAAATCGTTTATCTGATAAAGGACCAGTATCTAAAAAACTCTTAAGATTCAACAAGAAAAAGAAAAAAAATTTCCAATTTAAAAATGAGCAAAGGATTCAAATAGATTTTTTCCCAAAGATTCACAAATGGCTAATAAGCACGATAAGATGCTCAGCATCACTCGTCTTTAGGGAAATGAAAATAAAAAGCACAGTGAGATACTACATCACACCCCGTAGAACTGTTATCATGAAAAAAACAGACAATAGCAAGTGTTGGTGAGTATGTGGAGGGTTTTGAGTCCTACATTGCTGGTGGGAATGGAAAACGATGCAGCTTCAATAGAAAATAGTTTGGCAGGTCCTTAAAGAATTAAACACAGAATATACTATGTGACCCAGGAATTCCACTCTTAGGTATATACCCAATATCACTGAAAGCATGTACACATAAAATTGGTTTGCAGATATTTGTAGCAGCATTACTTACAATAGCCAATGAATGGAAACAATGCAGATGTCTGTCAGTTGATGAATAAACAAAATATGATTGTATCCATGTAATGGGTTGTTATTCAGTCTTAAAAAGAAATGTAGTGCTAACACATGCTTTAAAATAGATGAACCTTGGAAACATGCTAAGTAAAAAGTCAGACCCATATGATTCCTTTTATATGAAATTACAAAATAGGAAAATCCATAGAGACAGAAAGTAGATTAGTGATTGCCAGGGACTGGAACAATGGAGCTAATAATGAATAAAAGATTTCTTTTGAAGATGATGACAATGTTCTGGAATTAGTGGAATTGCATCGCTTTATGTATATACTAAAAGTCGCTGAATTGTACACTTTATAAAAGGTGAATTTTATGGTTTGTAAATTACATCCCAGATAAAGAATATATGAGACCTAACTGTAGGAATATATTAATAATATGATCTTCATTTTGAGGGTGTAGGTGATCTGTAGTAATTCTGCAAGTTTTCTAAACTTTCAGTAGATATTTCTAAATTATCCTTTCTGGAATGAAGTTAGAATTATTGATATAAGTGAGGATATTTCTTCTCTGACTTGTTTTATTAGACCTTTTAAAAGTTGGCTGTGTAAATACATTTTTAATACAATCGTCCTTTAATATTGAAGTAAAAATGTGGCATTAGTGTTTAAGCTATAAGAGGGTGGTGCCTGTCACGCTGCATGTAATGCTCATATCTTGTTCTGTAGAGAGTCTATGCTTTGGTAGTGAAGTGTCGTATCATTGCTGCAGGAGAACCAGTGCCCCCTCGGACTCTGACTGAAGCTGGCACAATGGCACTTTGCTACAGTGCTGCTTGGGATGCACGTGTCATCACCAGTGCTTGGTGGGTGTACCATCACCAGGTAATGAGGGCTGTGGTCCTTTTCCTTAATTTATTAAGACCTACTGTGTACAAATTTTGAGGACATACAAATGAAGAAGGCAAACAACAGTACCTACCTTGATAGAGCTGATGTTTTGGTGTTGAAAAAAAATATACATAATGTCAAGTAACAAGTGCTATAAAGTTTGTGTTTTTTTTAGTCAGAGTAAGGAGAGAGAGTGGTAGGGACTACCATTTTGAATAAAGCATCAGGGAAGGCCTTTCTGGGAAGATAAGATTTGAGCAGACTCCTAAAATGAAGAGAGGAGAGTGATGTATGTAGTTATGTGGCATAAAGAATGGACCAGTTATGACTGGCACACAGACCTAAGAGGTGTCTCTCCTGTTCATCTTTGTTAGAGTTTTCTGAATTCTCTTGGCCCTTCTAGAAAAGTAGGTATATCCAGTGGTTTTTTTATTCACTTGGCTTTTAGCAATTGTCCTTCTTTGTGGTTAGTGCTCTTTGATTTGATGATACTTCATTCCATATTTGACTTCACATTGCTATTGATTGTACATTTTCAAGAATTATAATTGATAATGATGTACTTTTACAAAGTCCTAAAGCTGCAATAAGATAAAAGGAGTTCAATACCATTATCCTCCCTTAGTTTTAGTCTCATTTTATATCTGTTTATATTTATTATTTTCTTCTGTGCTCTGATATTGAGTATTTAGGAAATTAATATCACTTCTGGGATTATATTTTCTGCCTCAGTTCTATTATAAAAGTGGCTTTAATTCTTTCATGAGTAGGTTTTTTTTTTGGATGAAATTTAGTGTTTTTAACCTCTCATATAACTATGGCTAATAAAGGTAACTCTCAGATTTTAGGGATATATAAAATGTATAAAATTTTTATACAGATGTATAAATCTTTTTTAAATTGTGGAATTTGCTTATTTCCTATTTTTTCAAATTAGAATATATATTTTAAAATCTTTTAACACCTTTATTTTGGTACCAAAAAAAAGTATCTCAGAAAAGGACTTTATTTAAAAAGTACAGTTTTATTTTAGTAAAGTAAATATATCACTTTTAGCAAATGGTAAGCATATTAAACTATCCTTATTTTTCTCCTTTTATCTCATACTAGAGGAAATGTGTGGACCAGTTCTGGCTCATGTCCATGGCATTTGAAAATTATTGATGAAGTGTATCCTTCATTATTTCTTCTCTTTGTTACTGCCAAAGATACATCCATCACTGAAGAGATTTCTATCCCTTTATTGTTGAGAATTGTTGCTAAATTATAAACTTTTCAGGACATAGTGCTGTTTACTTGAATATGATTTTACCTTCTTGAGTGAAGTTTAATAACTGTATTTCTTAAGATAAGAATAAATGTTATTGTGTTCCTCAGGTGTCTAAAACAGCACCAACTGGAGAATATTTGACAACAGGAAGCTTCATGATAAGAGGTAATAACTTGTCAATGGATTATGGAGATAGGTTGAGAGACCATCTATTAACATTCTCAGAACAGAAACAAGTTATTCTGTTTTCATATTCTGCTATGAAATAAGGAAAATTTTGCCCTAGTGAGCAGATTTCGCATTTATCATGTCATCTCCATATGTATTTTTATTGATGAGAATATTCTTTCTTATAAAGTAAGAAAGTATTACATGGCCTTTTTTCTAAAAATAGATTATTCAGCGTCTAACCCAAAAGATGAGAACAAGCATTTATATTTTTCTTAATTCCTGTTCTTATATATAATGCCAAATTCTGTAAATGGGATATGTTTCTTCATGACAGAGAAAAGGCAAAACAAATGTTACCATTGGTGTCAGATATTTTACAAGCATAAAATGGAAAAAATAGATTTTTAAAACACTTATGTACATTATCTTTTGTAGGAAAAAAGAATTTCCTCCCTCCTTCATATCTAATGATGGGGTTTAGCTTCCTCTTTAAGGTACTCTTCATCTTCATTATTTTTTTTCTGATTTTCATTATTCTTACTTAAAAGTTCCATAACTGAAAAATAACTATTTCCGTAGGTAGATGAGTCTTGTATTTGGAGACATCGAGGTGAACGAAAAGTCAGAGTGCAGGATGAAGACATGGAGACACTGGCAAGTTGCACAAGTGAACTCATATCAGAAGAAATGGAACAACTAGGTAGTTTCCAGATTTTAATAAAGTAGCTTATACTGCTCTCTATTGTCTAGTTTTCTAAAGTTTTAGAAGATTATACCTCCTTTAGGATCATTGAACTTTCAAAAAACACTTGCTAAATTTTACTGAATTTTGTTTTGGACATGTTAAATATAGTTATTTTAGTGAATTATAAAGTATTTGGTCCTTAACTACTATACTTGAGTGTATGTTTACATAGTAAAAATGTATTTTCAGTGTTTATTGGATAATATGTAAATGTGCTTAACAGAGGTAGACTCAGGTGGATATCAGTGAGCATTTTAACTTAAACTTTTAAGTTTAAGATTTAGAAGAGATACAAAGATGAGTTTATAACAACTGCAATTTCTCAGGAGAATTTAGCTTGATTTAATAGTATATTTGTTTCAAGTGGAGGGCAAGTTTTATTCCAGTGGTTGGTTTCTTACCTACTGAAAGGAACTAGGGAAAGTATGCCCTCTAAAAAATTTTAGTTTTTCTTTGTCATAGGGCCATTTCTTTTTAGGAGTAATAATGCACTGTTTGTTGACTACTGTAGTACACAATACTATTTTTTTGAATTTTACCACATTCCTAACACAGTACAAAGTGTATTATTTACATTGTTTTTGATTGAATTTTCACAACCATCCTTATCAGCAAGTGGGGTGCTGGCTTTTCATTTTATAGGTGACGCAACCAAACCATACTATTGCTACTAGACAAGTGTTTCTTTTGCAAAAGTATAAACACCTGCTGTGTGCCAGTTCTGTAACGTGTATTGTCTCATTTAGTTCTCATGTGCAAATTATAATTAAAGTGGCAGAATTTATAGAATGACTTCTCTTGTCTTCCTTTTTGGAAATACCTAACCAAGACAACTTGTAGTTTTCATTGTAGAAATGGTTGCAATGTTCAAGAAATTAATTGTGGTAAGGGATCTTGGAGATCATTTATTCCAGCCAATTCATGATACAGACTCTCCTTTGTCCACGTTAGAGTATCCTTTGGGATGCTTAGGCATTTTTCTGGTGATATTTTTGAGAAAAGAGGAGTCAAGAAAATATTTTTATGAAGTTCTCAAGGAAATCATTAGTTTTGTTGCGCCAGCACTCTGACTTTTCTTATGGTAACTCTACAGAAGGAGGTGACAGTAGCAGTGAGGAAGATAAAGAGGAGTTACAAGAAACCCCTGTGGAAGTGGAACTCATGACTCAGGTTGACCAAGAGGATATTACTATTCAGAGTGGTGGAGATGAGCTTAATGAAGAACTAATTCAGGAAGAAAGCTCTGAAGATGAAGGAGAATCTGAAGAGGTGGTAAAAGATCAGGAAGCTATTGTTAAAATGAAGGATGAAGAAGAAGAGACACTGAATTATCCTGATACTACCATTGATTTGTCCCACCTTCAATCCCAAAGGTAACTTAAAACCCCTTTATATTAAGTTTTATTTTGTAAGCTGGGAATAATGAAGAGTTCATCTTTACAAAGGTAACACCAAGATTAACTTTAGTTCTTTTATTCTTCATTGTCCTATGGTCTTACTATTTTTATACCATTTGGTTGGGGGTAGATCTTTCAGAAGAAATTTCCAGGAGTCAGGGTAGGAAAATACAGTAAGTATGAAACTGACCAAACTAGGTCAAAATAGAAATAAGTAAAATGGTTATAAAAATGCTAATAATACAAGAAAGGAAATTCCATTAAAAAAAAATTAGGTGTTTTAGTCTTTAATGTCTTACTGATCACCAAGTAAACAATACAATAGTTATAAAAGTCTTATCATTGGAGTAGTTAAGAATGGCATAGGAGTCAGACCACAGTTGACTTTCAAGATGTGCAAGTTTCTTTATGACTAAGCTTCAATTTTCTTCTTGGTAAAAATGGAATGGTACACCCCCCCTTCGTTGGGTTTTGGTGAAGGTTATATGCACGTGAAAAACATCTCAAAGTGCCTGCCACATAGTAAGTGTTCAGTACGTGTCAGCTGTTTAAGAATATATTTAAAAGTGTGAGATGAGAAATCTGATTCTATTTTTTCTAATTTTACCAAATTTGAAAATTCATAGGGTTGACAGTAGTTAAGAGTATATGGTAGAATATTTTGGGACTTTGTAAATGAACATCTTTTGTAGGCTAGTGGACTCTTCCTGTTTGTTTTCATAGGTCCCTCCAGAAATTGGCTTCAAAAGAGGAATCTTCTAATATGGTAAGCCATTTTCAAAGTTTATGAAGGACATTTATCATGTCCTTCTCACTGAATAGAATAATTTTCTAGTTTTTTTATTTTACTTTTTGAAAAACTAATAGTAGTGATGTTACTGTTTGTATTTGTTTTTTGTTTAATTTTAATAGAGTGAAAGTAAGTTACAGAGCCGGAGACATCTGTCAGCCAAGGAAAGAAGGTAAACATATTTGTGTTTTCTAACTGAAAAGCATGTAAATTTTTTTAAATTAACAATTCAATTATGACACATCACTTGGCTATTCTAAACACCTCTCATTAAGATCATGAAAATTCAGCATAAATCTTGTTTAGTTTTCAACATTCAGCTCTAGGAGGCTTTTCTGTCTTAGGGCCCTAATCTGTCACTATAATGAGTAAGCGAGGTAGGTCCAGTAACACAAGACAGATCTTTTATATGTAAGTATGTACAGTGATTACATTGTAAATAGACAGGCTGGTTCTAGAGTAATATTGACAGGAATAAACAGTAGTACTTGAAATTAATTAGGAGAGTTCTTCTAAAAGAGCAGTCTTGGTTTCTTTCTTTTTTAAATATAGCAGGTCTCAGGAGGCAAATAGAAAGATGAGGAGGAAGGAAAGGGACAATGAAGGAATTACTATAAAGTGAAAAAGTCTGAAACATAAAGCATTTCAGGAAGAGCCCCTAGGTTGGAATGGATCATGAACTGTTTTGTTTGAGAGAGAAGATCATTAAACAATTACAGAGAACTCTCTGAGTAAGTACATGGCACTGTGCTGGACACCAAGTATGCAAAGAGGTAAAATACAAAGCTTGTGCCTTCAAGCAGCTTTTCAGTCTGGGATTTAGGAAACAGCCATCAATCCATAATGATACAATATTTTAGGCATAAGATCACAGAAGAAAATCACATGGCCAACAGGCACATGAAAAGATGCTCCACATTGCTAATGACCAGGGAAATGCATATTAAAACCACAATGAAATATCGACTCACACCAGTTAGGATGGCCAACATCCAAAAGACAAGAAATAACAAATGCTGGCAAGGATGCCGAGAAAGGGGAACCCTCCTGCACTGCTGGTGGGATTGTAAATTAGTTCAACCATTGTGGAAAGCAATATGGAGGTTCCTCAAAAAACCAAAAATAGGAATACTACTTGACCAGGAATTCCACTCCTAGGAATTTACCCTAAGAAAACAGAATCCCTGACTGAAAAAGACAGATGCATCCCTATGTTTATCACAGCCTATTTACAGTAGCCAAGATATGGAAGCAACCTAAGTGTCCATCAGTAGATGATTGGATAAAGAAGATGTGGTACATATATCCAGTGGAACATTATTCAGCCATAAAAAGAAAACAGATCCTACCATTTGCAGCAACATGGATGAAGCTTAGAGGGTATTATGCTCAGTGAAATAAGCCAGGTGGAGAAAGACAAGTACCAAATGACTTCCCTCATTTGTGGAGTGTAGCAACAGAGCAAAACTGAAGGAACAAAACAGCAGCAGACTCACAGACGCTGAGAAGGGACTAGCAGTTACCAAAGGGAGGGGTGGGGGAGGGTGGATGGGGAGGGAGGAAGAAGGGGTTAAGGGGCATTAAAATTAGCACTCACAATATAGGTAGGTCACAGGGATGGTAGTACAGCATGGAGAAGACAAGTAATGACTATAGCATCTTACTACACTGACTGACTGCAGGGGGTTGGGGGGGAACTGAGAAAATGGGTGAATATTGAAACCACAATGTTACTTATGTGAAACCTTCATAAGATTGTAGATCAATAATATCTTAGTTAAAAAATATATATATATATATATATATATAAATATTTCAGGAATAAGAGATTGCTCAGATTAGGTGTTTTGGGAAATTCCAACAGACTATATACCTTGAAGATATACTAGGATTAGGTAACTGCAAATACAGTCTCAGACTCCAAGGAGAATTAGCATGAACAAACTGGGGGCAGGAAGTAATATGTGTAGTGCTTTGGGGGAAATGATAGACTGAGGTGAAAAGAGCAGAGAGTTCATATTTGTGAACTGGTAGATGATAAAATTGGCGAAGTGAATTTGGCCCAAAGTGGAGAAATTAAAATGCAAAGTTAAGTATTTTAGACTTTATCCTGAAAGTGATATGAGGAGACATTTTGAAATTTTGGATATTGGATAACAAGGAAGATTAATCTAGAAGTTATTGTAGAACAGATTATGGGGGAAACATTGGAAGAAGTCTGGGTGGGAAGCAATGAAGACCTGGACATTGGTATTGGGAATAGAAGAGATTGCCCATGGAAAGCATTACAGCAATATAATTTCCCCTTTCTCCTTAGTCTGCTTATTTTTTATCTATTTATTCAGCTAAACAAATGAACCAATGTTTTATTGAATACCTAAGATCTGCCAAGGCCATACTTGATACAAAGTCTACAAATCCTAATGTTTGGTCCTCAAGATGTTGAGGGACCAAATGTAGCTAATGAGTAAGGATAAGTCAAGGTGACAGTGTGTTGAGCCTGGATGACAGAAAGAATGATAGAGAAAAATTTTCAGCTTTTGTCTGTGTGATTTGTGCTTCTTTATATACAGTAGCCTCATAATTACCAAGGTAAGCAGAAGCCATGATCTTTTTATTTTTATTTTTATTAAGATATCATTGATAAACACTCTTGTGAAGGTTTCACATGAAAAACAATGTGGTTACTACATTCACTCATATTATTGAGTTCCCCCCATACTCTACTGCAGTCACTGTCCATCAGTGTAGTAAGATGCCACAGATTCACTACTTGCCTTCTCTGTGCTACACTGTCTTCTTTGTGACCCTGCCACACTGTATGTACTAAACATAATAACCCTCAATCCCCTTCTCCCTCCCTCCCCACCCTCCCTGCCACACTCCTCCCCTTTGGTAACTGCTAGTCCCTTCTCTCATAGTCTGTGAGTTTGCTGCTGTTTTGTTCCTTCAGTTTTGCTTTATTGTTATAGTCCACAAATGAGGAAAATCATTTGGTATTTGTCTTTCTCTGCCTGACTTATTTCACTGAGCATAATACTCTCTAGCTCCATCCGTGTTGTTGCAAATGGTAGGATTTGTTTCTTATGGCTAAATAGTATTCCACTGTGTATATGTACCACATCTTCTTTATCCATTCATTTACTGATGGACACTTAGGTTGAGAAGCCATGGTCTATTATATATTGTACATGTTCCCTTCCCCATGTAACTTTTTTAGGGCACTAAGAATTTGAGATTCTAAGAATTAGATATTTTCATTTCATTTGTATTTAGAGAAATGAAAAAGAAAAAGCTTCCAAGTGACTCAGGGGATTTAGAAGTGATAGAGGGAAAGGACAAAGAAAAGGAAAATGCTCTACACATGGAAACTCATCAGAACACAAGCAAAAATGTCCCAGCTGTGCAGCCAATGAAGCGAGGACAGAAGGTAATAAAACAGGGTGGACTGTTCAAGTTAGTACTATATGGTTTATAAATAAAGTTGTGAGGTTTCTCTTCTAATTTTTTTTTTCATTGAATTTTTAAAAGTTTAAGTAAAACATAAGATGTAGGTAAAATCATGATAATCCTATGTGACGTCCTTTGAAAATTAAAAGATATGGAATTTAGGGATCATAGAGATTGCTGTTCTGTGTTCCTTTAAGGTCGTCCAGACAGAAGCTCTCATTTTATGTAGAAGAGGAGTAGGAGATTGTGATTTGCTAGAGTCACTCAGCTAGTAAGTGGGAGTGCTGATCCTTATTGATGACTTAGTAGTTTTTCAGTTACTGATGCAATTTTGGTTAGAGTTCTTATATATTTTATCAAAGGTGGGTGATGAAGAGGTTGAGAGTATAGAATATACATTTAAAAATACTGTTGCAATGTAAAAAAGGGGATTATGAACTAATATCAGTGTATCTTTATAAAAGTGAAATTCCTTTGAAATCTTAATGAAGGCCATGTTTTATGATCTTTCCTCCGTCCGTAATAGTCAGAATTTCCTATTTTTTCCAGTGAGCCTCAAATAAATGAAGGATGTAATACACATATGGAAAGGAAGAATATAAATTCTCCCTATATTAATATGTAAATTCAACATGACTTTAATCAGAATTGAGATTTTTAATTAACTTGATAAAATAATTCTAAAGTTCATTTGAAACAGTAAATCCTAGAGAATAGCTAAGGAAATCTTGAGAATGACTTTTGAGGACGGATTTCCCTACTAGGTAGCAAAACATTTAATGTTAGAATTGTTAAAACACAATGGTATTAACATAGGAACAACTAGATAGAAAAATGAAACAATAAAAATCTGGGCACAGAACCATTGATTATCTATTTAAATTTTTAATATGTGATAAAATAATATTACAGAATGGGAAAGTATGAAATATTCAAAATTAGTGGCTAAAAATAATATGTTTAAAAAATACCAAAGTAAATTCAGGGTGGAGAAAAGAACTGTCAATAAAATTTCAAGACGAATTGAAAAAAAGTAATATAAAAATGCTTATGTAAACAAGGGGAATTTTTTCACCCACCTGATTAGTAGATAATTCAGTCATTCAGGAAATGCTTGAGTGCATACCATGGGAATTACCAGCAGAAGTCCTAACAACACATCTACACTTTGACACAGCAATTCTACTTTAAGGAATTTATCCTAAAAAAAATCATGTGGATGATTAATATATGATATAAAATAATAAATAATATGGTGCACTTATGCAGTGAACTATTTTACAGATAGTTTAAGTGCTAAGGCAAATCTTGATGGAATTTTTAAATTAAAATACACTAAATTTTTTGTTTGTGGAAAACTCATCTTCAGAAATCTTACACATTGAGTCTTCCTGTCCATAAATATGGATTATAATTATGTAAGAATATTTTATATTCTTCAATAAAGATATATTTTCCCTTAGAGACTCATCTATTCCTTATTTTTTTTTTATAAATGATATTCTTAAAACGTTCACTTCCTAGTTATTGCTGGTATGTGGCAAGACAATTTTTATATATTGATCTAGTAAGAGTAAATACTATTGAATATTTTAATACTTCATGTGTAGGCAGTCATATTATCTGCAAATAATCGCTTTTTCTTTCTAATCCTGATATCTATTACTGTTGTTCTCATGTTATTTCCAGTGGTTCAAACATCAGTACAGTGTTACACAGAAGTGATATTAGCCTAATAATTTGAGTTTGTGAGTAGGTTTTCAAGTACTAATTACATTTATTTAGTGAATAAAGTTACATTCATATCAACTTTTTTTGAAGTTGGTTTTCCTAACATATTTTCCAAGAAACTTTTCACTTCATCAGGTTTTCCATTTCTTGGTTCAGTTTCTTGCTAATATTTACTTTATTCTCAACACTAATTAGAATTAACAAAGTACATCTTTATTACATAAAGGGACTGTTTCTAAGATTTTTTATCATTGTGGGGTGTTTCCTATGGGTTATTGGTAGACATCCTTTAAGAAAGGTTATTTTTACAATGCTGAGTTAAATTTTATTGAATGCTTTTTCTGCATTATTTTTCTCCTTCAATCAGTAATAAGGGAAATTACTTGGAAAAAATATTAAATTGGCCTCTAATTCCTCATACTTTGCCTTGTTTGGGTAACTAGGTTATACCAGCTTCACAAAATAAGTTTGGGACCTTTCCCTTTTTTTCTGCTCTCTTGAACTTTGTGAAATGATGGATTGTCCTTGAAATTTGATAGCATTTACTTATAAAATTGGGCCTAATAATTTGAGTTTTGTGAGTAGGTTTTCAAGTACTAATTACATTTATTTAGTAATTAAAGGTACATTCATATCTGTTTTTTGGAAGTTGGTTTTCCTAATTTATATTTTCCAAGAAACTTTTCATTTTGTCAGGTTTTCCATTTCTTAGTTCAGTTTATTAGTGATATTCATCTTATTCTCAAGATTTCTTTGAGGTATATATAGTAAGACACACATTTTAGGTGTTTTGTTCAATGAGTTTTGACACAATACGTATGTGTGAAACTACCACCCAGGTTGAACATTGTGGGTACTCCAAAATGCCCTTTTTGCGTTTATATGAATATCCCCAGCAGAAAGAAAATGCTCTTCTTACTTTAATCACTATAGATTATTTTGCCTGTTTTGGACTTTATATAAAAAGAATCCTATGGTATGTATGCTTTTGTCTGGCATCTGTCAACATTGAGAGTCATCCATGTTTGTATGTAACAGCTTCATGTGCATTACTAATAGCATTCCATTGTATGATTGCCACAGTTTATATGTTAGGTCCACGGGTGTGCATTTTTATTGTGTATAGTTAGGAATGATATATTGCTGGGCTAGAGTGTACATGTTGTGTTTGGCTTTAGTAGATATTACCATTTTAGTAGATTTTAACAAACAGATACTACCCATTTCCCACCAAGCAGTATATCAGTGTTCCAGTTGCTCCATGTCCTAACATTTGATATTGTTCGTTTTTTTCTAGATCATTCAGGTGTGTATATACTGAATTCTCAGGTGGCTTTAATTTGCATGTCCCTGGTGACTAAGGATACTGAGCACTTTTTCATGGGTATTAAATAAACCTTTGAATATCCTCCTTTTGAAGTGCCCATTTTAAAAATTGAATCACCCAGCTTTTTCATGATGTATATAGGAGTTCTTTAATCCTGGATACAAGCCTTCTCTTGGATATATGTATAACAAATAATTTTTACATCTTGAGTCTTGCTATTTTCACTTTTTTAATCATGCTTTTTGATGAGCAGCATTTTAGTGAAGTCTGATTTATCAATCTTTTCTTATATAGTGGTTTTTTTTTTGTATGTCCTCTTTAAAGAAATCTTTAACATTTTAGAATTTTATTATTGGGACTCCAGTTAAGACTAATCAATACAAAATTCTTTTGAAGTGAGGCCTAGAAGTCTTTAGTTTAAAAAACTACTGGGGTGATTTGGGATGTGTAACCAGAATAACAAATCATTAGTTTAGTTGATAAAATTCAGAGTCTTATGAGCCTCTACAATAAGTACCCACCTTAGTTTTGCTGTCTGATTTGCTCTTCTTTCTCTATATGTGTATCCTGATTCCAACCAAATGAGATGACTTGCTATTACTCTTTTGTCTGTCTTTACCTCATCATCTTGCCTTTTCTGTATTCCCAAGTACTATAAAATTGATTTCCTTTAAGGTTAACTTTCAAGTTCTGCTTTATTTCTTCCCCATAGTTCTTACTTAAGCTGAAATAAATGTCTCTAAATTATCTTAGAAATAATTTGTTTACATTTAGAATATGTTGCATTAATTTTTTTCCTTATATATCTTCTTTTTCCACCAGATGGTTAATCGTTGAGGGTGAGGACTATGTTTAGTCATCCTTTTTTTTTTTTAGTCCCCACCCATTGTTTAGTATAATGGTACCTTGCTCAGTAAGGATTTTTGACAGAGAATTAAACAAGTACCTTTTCTTTACAAATATTTGTTGACATTTTTTTACTGTTCCAGTTTTTCAACCAAGATGCTTTGATTTTTTAGAGCAAAATGAAAAAAATGAAGGAAAAATACAAAGACCAAGATGAAGAAGAACGGGAACTCATCATGAAATTGCTGGGAGTAAGTAACATCTAAAAACATTTTTTCTTCTGCTTTTAAAGAAGCATCCAGACCACTGCCTATCATATGGCAGACATTAAATACATTTTTGTATTCAATTTTGTATTTTGTATTCAATACAGTATTGAAAATACTGATAATATTAACTGGTTTTTTCCCTGTAAATTAGTCTGCAGGTTCGAACAAAGAAGAAAAAGGGAAAAAAGGGAAAAAAGGAAAAACAAAGGATGAACCAGTGAAGAAACAGCCCCAGAAACCTAGAGGTGGACCAAGGGTTTCTGACAGCATAAAGAGAGAAACTCCATCCCTTGAGGTTGTAACTCACGAGTTACAAGACATGGCTATAGATGATCCACATGATGACAAGGTAGGGCTACGACCCACTGGGGCTTTTGCTTCTTACTTAGGGTGACCAACTATCCCAGGGTTCCCAGGACATGAGACTTAGGGCACTACGGTTAGTGGTAAGTCATCTTAGAAATACAACCTAAGAGACTAAAATTGCAGTGTATAAGCACAAAAATAGTACTTATAGCTGACAAAAAGTTTATCATTAGCCTTTAGAAAATAATTTTATAGAGAGGCTTTACAATTCTGGTGGGAACTTAAAATAAGACAAATGATTGGGATTGTTTTAAAGATGAGTAGAAAATAAATTTACATTTATCTAGGTTTTTCTATAGGAATGTATTATTTTCTCACATAATGTTCGAAGTGACTGCACTGTGAAAGCATCCAAGTGCCCTGGCTGCAAAATCAGTGAGATGACATTTTTACAGTTAAGATGGTCTTTCTAACAAACTGAATACAGCAAACCCAGGCTTAAGTACATCTCTTGGCAGGAATATATACCTCTTGAAATTCTGAGCAAAGGATTTATTGTTAATAAATCAGCAGATTTTGATTCAGCTTGTGTATTTATGGCAGTTAAAGCTTTGGTTATAATTTTGTGATCCATTCAGTAAGGTAGTGCTTATGGGGATTTTAAAGGTATTACTAGCTTCTTTTTCCCTGTGCTGAACAGTCTTATTGTCTAGTAATAATAAAAGCATCTCGATCCTCAAATTTTTATGCTAATTTTTTAAGTTTATTCTGTAAACCCTATTCTCATAAATACCCATTAAAGGTTTTAACTGTGAGTGTTCTTTCTCAGTAAGGTTATCTCCAGATTTTTTAATGTAAGCACAAAGAATTACACTTATTTTAATATGTGAAAAATGTATCCTAAAACTGTTGAACAGAGACTAAACAGAAGTTCTGCTTGCCAGACTTCATTTTCTTTTCCCCTGGAAGACATATCAAGCTTAGTTGTCATTTTAAATTGCCCGTTAACATTCACTGCTTTAGCATATACTCTATGTGAAAGTTGTTTTTGTTATTTTTAAACTTCAGAGAACAATCCTTTTGTTCTTTGAATGGCATTGCTTTCTGAACTATTAGACATACAAATTAATTCACTCAGACTCGGGACACTGAAGAACACAATCTGCGGTCCCTATTCTGTGGGTTAGAAGCGAGTCTTGTTACATCACTATTTCTTTCTTCTCATAGTTTTTAACAGGGTGAAAATTTAATTTAAATTATGGCTGACTTTTAAAATTTTGTTTGGAGCAGGAAGAGCAAGATCTGGATCAACAAGGAAATGAGGTATGATTTTGTGTTGGCGGTCCCTGCTACAACATTCTGAAATCCAGTTCCCAGAATGTTTGACACACAATTTCTAACTAATTAAGTCCGTGACATGACAAGAACTACAGGCTCTGGAGTCACACATTCTGAGTTTGAATCCCAGCTTCACCTCATGTAACTATAACTTTGGAAACATTTGTGCCAGTTTCATCATCTGAAGAACAGGGATAGTAATTGTCTCTACCAGGAGGGAGTTGTTTTAAGAACTAAGATAAGTAGAGCATGTAGGAAAAGTTCATAGCACATAGTACATTGTACATCAGCACCAAGCATGTTGTCCTAAATCTAAATTTACTCTTCTTGAATAAAGGTGGGCAGTGTTGTAGGCAGCCCACCAAGTGGGAACTCTTAAGAAGCCCTAGGATTTCTCCTTAAGAACAGGCAAGAGAGAAGGCTGTTCTAGCCCGGGGTTTCTCAATTTTGGCATTATTAACATTTTGGGATGGATAATTCTTTATTATGGGGAGCTGTCCTATTCCTGGCCTTACCCAGTGGATGTCAGTATCACTCTATTCCTGCCCCCGTCTCCCAGTTGTGATGACAAAAACTGTTTCCAGACATTGACCAGTGTCCTCTGTGGGCAAAATCCCCAAGTCAAGAAGCACTGGTCTAGCCAAAGCATCAGGCCCCTTTCCCTGTAATGGATTTCAGTCTATCTGAGGTCATTATTGTGCATCATTTTAATCCATAGTAGTCTTCTGCAACTCAAGTAATATCCAACAAGTTTTTTTCTCACTCTCTTAAATGGTTCTACAAGCACCATTTTGAAAATCATTCTCATTTCTCACTATGCTAAGCAAAAATAAGTGTAAAGAATATATATTTAAATACTATTGGTCTTAAACCCTTTGGAGCTATAAAGCAGAGCTTAAGACTGTATGTCTATAAGGAAAGTATAAAAATGTTGATACTAATTTAACTGTTTTAATTCTCCTTTTTTAGGACAGATATTAATTACATTTATAATTGTTTTTGTTTTCCCTTTTTAGGAAAATCTGTTTGACTCTTTGACAGGGCAGCCACATCCTGAAGACGTGTTACTGTTTGCCATTCCAATATGTGCCCCTTACACCACCATGACAAACTACAAGTAAGTCACCATTGGTTTACTCAAAACAGCTCACACAGTAGTGACATAGGCATTATTTTGTTATCTCTATTTAGTAACACATGCAATTCTTTTTTAAAGATACAAAGTCAAACTTACTCCTGGAGTTCAGAAAAAGGGAAAAGGTATTTAAAAATCTTTTTTTGAATTGCAATTTTAAATATTTCTTGACTGAACAGAAGTAGATTCTCCTATGTTCTACTTTCAGCTGCAAAAACAGCCTTGAATAGTTTTATGCACTCCAAAGAAGCAACAGTAAGAGAAAAAGACTTATTCCGCAGCGTAAAGGTAAAGTATTCCTGTGGAACTCTGGGTGTTGGTGGTGCAATTAAAAATGTTAGCAATTATAGTTTCCTATTTTTTGTTGTGGCTTTAGTAGGTGCCAACTGTAACTATTGTTTTGGGAGGAAATGCTGTATATGTTAAGTAATTTCAGGTGAAAATCTGGGGAATATTTTTGACAGCAGAGGATACATAACTGTCATAAAAGAAACATGATTGACCTTACAGAATGTGAAGATACTCAGCAATTCTCTTTTTTTAGGACACGGATTTGTCAAGAAACATTCCTGGCAAAGTGAAAGTATCTGCACCTAATCTTCTGAATGTAAAAAGGAAGTAGCAGAAGTGAAATCCTAAAATATTTGAGATGAGCCAATTTTATAGCCTTTTGGAGGTTCAGAGATGAAAACACCATGTAAGGAGACTTTCACATTTAGCAATGAACTAAATGGAAACACTGTCTACAACAGGAGTCCCTAAAAGATTTGTGGACAGTTACATGCTAATTGTATACATCTGTAGTTCAGCATTCTCTTGAAATTTATTAAGTATTAATTTAATGCTGTAAAGAAACCAAATAGTGAAGTGGCTCAATTGCTTAGACTATTGATTTGGTTGTCTACTGTATATAATATATATCTATTATAGGCCAATCACTAGTTTTGTTTTGTTTTTCCTGGTGGTGGTTGGAGGAGTTAAGCATTTAGGATTAGTCTTGAAAATCCTAAGTATTGAGCAAATTTCCTTCTACCTTTACTTATACTTATCAAAAAAAATCAGACTAGACTTAAAATACAGGTAAGTCCCATGACTCAGCTTAAGAAAGAATACAGAAGAAATTGGTGTGGATCATTTCCATGCATTTATACACCTTCACTTTTCATCTTAGTATTTTCCTTGTTATCTCATTCAGTTCCATACTGTTTTAGTTTCCACCTCTAGTAAGTACCAGAAGCATGCTACAGAGCACCTGAGCCTATAACATAAAAGTGCACTTTTAGGCTTACCAACTAAAGACTCCTGAACCAGTTTTCTGCTCCTTAACAGAATGGAGAATAAAGTTGTACATTTCCATTCTTTTATGAGCTACAAAATTCTGTTAATTTTTAAATAATTAGACAACAGCCTACCTATATCAACAGGATTGCATGCCCCAGCCCCTATACCAAAGCATTGAGATCAAACTACTAAACAGTTGTTGGTCCTTACAAAATTTCTTTTGTCAGCTTAGTCCTACTGAAAATGTTTTTTCCATTTTAAATTTATAAAAAAAAAGCAAACACTATATAGCCTAGTGTTGTAAATACAACATAATAGACCACTTGTCATTTTAAAAAAAAATCTAAAATAATATTAATGTTTTTAAAAAATAACTTTTTACCATTTTGATAGTGAAAGAGTAATTAGTATAATGTTCCTATAGATATACATCTGAAGTTACCAAAAAGGAAATACAATAACCATTCCTTGGGGTAAAAAGCCTAAGTATTAATTTTCTTTTGCTTTAATAGAAGACAGTTACTACTGGTGTTAAATACGTTTATTGTAAACTTTAGACACAAAAATAGGTTCTCTAGGCCATTCACATGCACATTAAAACCAACAAGCTGCACGCTACCACAGTGCACATACTATACAAACGCTGCCACTCTGTGAGGTTTACAGAACTGCTGTCCATGCAAGATGATCAGAGGCATTATCTCTGAAGCCTTAAGATCCAGAAGTGTTGTTACTCCCAAACCTCTGATTAACACTGTGAAGTAAGTGTTTTGGAAGGCAGTTCCACGAGTTGGCTAACATTTCTTTAAAGCAAATGACTGCTTCTAAACATAGCCTGAAAGTGGACAGGGAAAGAAAAATAATTTCAGATTGCTGTTTAGAAGTACATTCACTTGAAGAACTACAAAAACAAACAAAAAACATTTTCTTTAAAGATTTTCATAGGAATTGGTTAGTTGCATCAATGAAGGCATGGTAGTGCCCTTAAGTTGTCCCTAAACCTGGTTTTTCAAGGGCACTAATTTAAACTGTTAGGAAACACAATTTAAAATAAGCTAAGGACCAAGTAAAAAGTTACTTACCTTACAAGAGATTTTGGTTGAACAGAAAATATAAGTATTTCATTACTGTGTGCCTGAAAAACAGAGGAAGAACACAAAAAAGCAAACTCTTCCCAAGGAGGCCCCAGCAGTGTTACAAAGCGGCCTTTAACACAGTGTACTATACTTACAGCTCTGTGATGGACAAGAAGGTTATTGGCACACCCACCAAAAACAATTACTTCTCCTTCATCACTGGCACAGGCTGTATGCCATAATCTGGATTTAGAACAAAAGTATTTAAAGTTACCCAAAACATCAAACTGATACCCTCACACTATAGAATATAGCTGATGACATAAAGACAAGCAATCTTTAGTTCAGATGTAAACATCATGGTGAGAAGCAATTACTTTAAGGAAAAGCAGCAAGATGTAGAAAAATCAATGTCCTTAACTGGATGTTACTGTTTTATATCTCTGGCTCAGTCTTAATTTATGCAATGAGGGTTTGAACTTAATGATCTGTCCTCTAGGTCTCTGTTAGCAGTAAAAATCTTACAGGAGATAAGTGGTAGGTATATGCCCCCTCCTTTTCAAAGGTAGGGCCAACTGGCCTTAAACAAACTTCCAAGGGATGCTGAATCTGCCTAAGTAAACAGAGTGTCTGAGGGCTTGGTGTACTATGGAGAGAATTTCTATGCCAAATGAAGTGTTAGTGGCGTGACTCTACTTGGAGGCTTGGGGAAAAAAGCAAGCTGACATACCTAAATGTGCTTTGAACACCAAATCTGACTATATCCTTTCCTTTGGAAGAATAACTATCAATGTTTAATATACTCTTCTTTTTGGATGATGTGATTTCTTAATCTTTGTTTTATAGAGCTACTATTACATCTAATTGAAAATCCTCGATTTTTACCCCCCATGTACATTGTTTCAGGTATTGAAATTCTCTCCTTTCCTGTTCCTCTTTCTTAAATGACACACCTAGATGCAGACAAACTCACATGGGTAAAGAGCTTGGTGATAAGTTCATATCAAAAATTTCATGATGAAGAGGCAAAAATAAAAAATCCAGCCACATTTTTCATATATGGATGACAGAAAAGAAAGCAGATGACATACAGATAACATTGGTTTTCTTTTCTTTCAAATAGGGATGATGTTAAATTTAGTGAATGCTAGGATTTTTCAAATTACAAATGATAGATTTAATGCAACCAAAAATTTCTCAGTCATTACCAGTCTTGTACATGTCTATGGACCTCATTTATTCAGTGTAAGGATTACCTTTTAAACAGTTCATACCTTGGTTTTTCAGTATAGGGATGATTAAACTGTATCCATTCATTTTTACTGATGCAGTAAGTCCAGGCATCACCTGATTGAAACAAAGAAAAAAGAGCTATGAGGAAGTTATTCTGTCAATGTAACATTAATATTTAAAGGACACAGCTTTAGCAAAATAGATAATCAGATTGTGAGTAAATACAGAAATTATATTTTCTTTTTATTCTCTGCAATTAACCAGGTAAGCCACTTGCATTTTATAGTGGGACTTTAAGTGCTTCAGGTCGTTTCTTTACTGGACAGAATGGATGTATGTCATAGTAGAAAACAACTGTGTTATATGATCAAAATAACAAACCTTCCAACCAACCTTATAGCCTTCTGATATATCTAAAATTGATTTTTTTTCAGCTATTTGTATATTATATATATATATAATGATTTCTTACCATATTTTTAAAGGACTTACTTAGTGGCTGTTTATCAGTGGTAAATCCTCCAAAGAGAAAGAGATGATCTGAAGAAACTGGTGTTAGTGAATGCCAAGATCGACCAACTGGGCATATGCCTTGTGGAATTCTGAAAATAATAGCTAAGTTACAATATCTACATTTAAAAATGGCTGCTGTATTTAAGGCAGAGAAATACTGAAGTTTTCCTTTCAAATGTATATGAACTTATGAAAAAAGAGACCTTAAAAAAGGCTTCTTGGTATTAACAACTACATGCTTTAGAATGACTATTTTCTTTGAATGTAGAGTCAACTTTAGACATTTCAACAAACATTGAGCACATGCTGTGGCCAGGAACACAGTTAATGGGAACTGGAAATTAAAAAAAGTTAAGTTCCTTATTTAAGGATCTAGTAACCAAGTCTATTTAAATTCATACTTACAGAAAATTTAAGCAAATACATTATAAAAGAAAAAAAACAAATTAAAAATAAATAAATAACTTAAATCTGAAGTGATACCTACAATTCATTCCACTCCCATGTATCCAGATTAAGACAGTGAAGATCATTCATTCTAGCATCCTAAAAAAGATAATTAAGTCATTATCATGTTGAAAAATACAAAAACAAGTAATTGAAACTGTGCATACTCACTCGGTATCTACCTCCAAACACAAAGCCTTTGTTTCCCACAGTCGCACAGGCATGGGCAGCGCGGGGTGAAGGGGCTTTACCCTGTCAAAAGTCAGAAAACCAACTTAGTGAATTAAGTGACCTTACTAGAGTCTTCTCTGGATGTGGGATAAGATTTTACAGATACTTAAGCTCTTAAGCTGAACTGTAGACTTCTGGTCATGTAGTACTAAAGGCTGGTTTCCAGAACTGGGAATTTTAATTTCATATTTTTGAGAGGTATTACTGAATGGGTTAGTTAATATAGTAGAATGCTTGCTTTATTTTTCTTTTAAAATAAAAGCTAGCACATTATATGATATCTGTGTCAGAGGAAAAAGAAATCTAATATTTGAGTGACTTAAATTCCAACCTAGTGCTAGGTCATTTAGTTACAAACAATACCACTTACCACCTATTAGATAACAGATGGTCAGTTAGTCTCTACATTCACTGAACTTTTTTGAATTCTAGACTCCTTGGAGAATAATAAAATAGGTAAGAAAATAACAGGAATGAACTGCCAGTTTTATACCACCTCCCAACTCCCCCTCCTCCTCTAAGTGGCCTTGTTTTATCACTATTCTTCAGTAACTCACAGTAGTTATAGGTTGGCTCCAGATAAATGTTTCAGTGTCTAAAATATGTACATGATCATTCCATCCTCTTGGATGACTTGAATTCTACAGAAAAATAAGAATCTCTGAGTTACTTTACAGATGTTTGTAAAATTATTACATATCCTTTGATTAAACAAGGATATGTATGAAACTACTAGCAAAGTGTACTATTTTAACATATTAAGTGGCCTACATGCAAATTTAAAACTTATCTTACCCAAAAAGATGTTTCATCAAATTCAAAAGTTCCCAATACTTTATCTTCAGGTAAATATCCATACCCTCCAAAAAATATTAACCTGTTTGATAAAAAACCGAGATACCAAAAATTCAAACACCACAGTTGGGATACGAGAAATTTCTCATATTTTGTAACATGCTATGAGTTGAGAAGGCACACGGGTATAGGAAAATACTTATTCAAATACTAATGGATAACATAGCTAATAATTATGTCTTTTGCTATGTTAAGTGCTTTATGTATTTGCTTAATCCTTGTATGGGCCCTAGAAGGTATGTTCCGTAGTTACTCTGTTACTGTTATTGGCTAAGTATACTTACTGGCAGACCACTTCCCACATAAAAACCAAACCAATACTTTTTTAACTCACTTGTTTTTATATACCCAGACACCAAGTTTGTCCTTTGATGAGGGAGGAATTCCTTGGCAATCAATTCTTTCCCACTGTAATACTCTGTCTGTAGATCTTGAATCCAGCATGTAGAACTGTCAGAAGCAATTATTTCAATTAGATTTGGTTATATGAAAGAAATTCAACCTTGGCATTTAATTTCATTGTGATTTATGATAAGAAGAATGTCATCTAATTCAGTGCTACTAAAAGTGTTAACTACAGACTGGTTGCCAGTCTGCAAACTGTTGTTACTGGTCTGAGTCTTGGGAAGGAACTTGTGCCAGAATACATCACTAAGCACCCTGTTCAGTTCACTAATTTCTTCCCCATAGCCAAACCTTTTCAATGGAAGAATAGTTAAGTAGTGTGTTGATTTACATTCTGTGCCTTAGATAGGCACTTTGAGTTGTACTAATTTAATTTATGGGTATCAGGATGGTTTTACCAAAAGTCAGACTTAGCAATTTCACCTTCAAATTCAGTTTAAGAAAGATGTCTTAAGTGCCTGCTTAACTTTAGGAACCAAGGACAAATCTTAAAAGATTAAGCATTGGTTTGTTTCAAAGCATTCACATCCAGGTACTTGAATAAATTTGACCATTATATATGTTTTTTTACTTCTCTTAAGATTCCTAAGCTTCCTCTCAATCAAAATACTCAACTCTAGGCATTTGACATACCAGCTCTTACCATCTCTCCCCGACCACCCCCTATAAGCCACAGCTTCTCTTTCCCAAGCGTCCGTATGTTCTGTCTACGTTATTTTTTAATAATACACAGTTGTAAAATACATGGCTCTACAACAACCTACGGCAGTGCCTCACAAAATCTTTTAGGCACAGAACCATTTCTTCAAACAAAATCTTAAGCAAAAGCTTATTATATTAATATATAAAGACAAAAGTGGGGCTTGGCACTTGATGAACAAGACCTATTTGCTTATACCTCTGCATCTTAATACCTTTATCTTGGCTACCTCTCCCAATTGCATGATTCAATTGAAGCATCACTGCTTGAGTGATGACTTCCCTTCAGAGTCAACAGTATTTACTGAGCGATTACTGTGAACCAGGCTCTGTGTATCTCTTTATCATATGCTACTGAAATCATTTACTTGTATGTGTCCCTTCTAGAATGTGAGCTCCTAGAGGTGGGAACTATGTCTCCAATGTCTAACCAAGTGATTGGCATAGAAGGTGCTTGTTATTAAGTTGCCAAATAAATGCATTTATAAGAAACTATGTATATCATATGCCCCTTTCTGACTGACTTCATATCTCATGACTGGCTTGAGATAACAACTTATATCTTTTTCTCCTATTTGGGAAAAACATGGACAAGGTCTGAACAACAGTACCTTATAGCACCATGTTATAAAAATGTTAGTATATAAAATTTCGTCAGTGCTAATTTATCCACATAGCTTAGTGGTGGTCAGTTGAGTTTTACCCTGCCCCCCATGATTATATCTTGTTTTCATTTAGTCTACTAATATTCATCTAATACTCAGGGTTCTAAGAGAACAGGTAGCTGCAAAGAACACAGAAACAACCTAGGCAGTTACTACACACAGGTTGCTAACCAAAATTGATTTTACAAAAGGCCTAGGTGAATACGGCCTCCTAAATAAAATACTAAAATGCACATTTACCATAACCAAGTATGTATTTTTTTTAAGCTGGGCCAAGAATAAGTATGGGCTAACCTTGGAAATCTGAAGTTGTCTGAAAAAGAATAGAATTGCCTTGCACCATAATCCTTAGAAACACTAACCTTATTCGTATTGCCTCTTGAATGGTGTCCGCCAAACAAGTACAGCACCCTGTCTACACATACAGCGCAGCTCCCTGACATGGAAGGAGGAACATCTCCTTCAGTGTTAATTTTTTTCCTGAGGGGGAAAAACTGAATGTAATTAAGTTTCCTAAAAGGGAGAAGCTCATTATTATTCTAGTTCTGTCCCACAGTAAAGAATAAAATAAAATGAGCTAGCTGATTAGATACTGTCTAGGGTCTCTAATAATTCTAAAAGTGATCCACAGAATAAGTTTTTCTCTCTTTACCCATTCCATAGGCCATGCCAACTGGCCCTACACATAGGCAGAAAGAAAGGTTCTGAAAGCCTAAGTCATATTTTAATCTAGTAGCACAGCATTTTGTTTCTCAAACTAAATTGTTTACTTACATGGCCATAAGTGGTTATTTTATTTTTTTGAGTGGGCCAGAAACCTAGAAGGAAAGGTAAAACATCCCAGTGCTAACAGATTACTCAATAGGTGTTTTCTATTCAAATGAATAGCTTTTAGCTGTTCAGATGAACCTGATTCAGACCTTATGTCACACTACAGACACTTAGTGCTTACCACAGGCCAGGCACTCCTCTGAGTGCTTCCCATGTTTTAACACATCCTGAATCTAAAGCCTAAGAAAGATTCAAAATATTCAGGGGACACTTAAGGTCTTCTGCCCTCAATATGACTTTATGTATACTAAGCTTTAAGTTTTGGTAGGCTTATCTTTTAAAAATTTATGACACTGAATCCAAAAAAAAAATGTAGAACTCCCCTATTAAAGGAATACTATTATGTTTCCAACTGTCTAGAATGATTAGCAAAGAGCTCAGATTAACATTGATTTGCTATCTACAGAAATAATACTTAAATTTTCAGTTTAATTCATGAAATCAAATGGCACTACTGTTCTAGTTTACATATACAAAATATGTACAGCACAAAATTCTCACAGTGTAAGACATGACGAAGACTATAAACCCTCAAATACGGCATCTTAGCATTTTTGAAAATCACATCATTTTGCCAAGGACATACTCTTGAGTACCACTGTAAAAAGACTAGCAAAAGGTTGTTTCAGAATATCCTCTTTTGTATGGAAGGCAAATTTATTCACTTTAAATGAAACATACTATTTCAGAGATTTGCATAGAAATTTTAGTGTTAAACTCATTAAAATAGAATACCAACTTTATTTCTACCAGATACAATCTAAAAATTATTTTCTCATTCAAGGTAACAATGTAACAGAGACATCTTGCCGGGTGTGTGTATATATACATGGAACTTTTATTACATTTCCATTCTAGGACCTGAAGCCTTTACGTCTTTAATATTACTGTGATGCTTTACAGAGCCCTGAATAGAAATTACTTCAAAGGTTATAAAAGCATCTAGTAATTACTGAACTATTTCTGGAGAGATGCTAAAGTATCTAAGCTCAGCAGCTAAGCTAAACTAGCAGAGCATTGTTTTCAGAACATATAGCATCTTTAAAGTATTTATCAGAATGGGTTTTACAGTTTCTATTTGCAACTTTATTTCAATTTTTTACTCCCCCCGCATATCCAGTTACCATCTTCCAGTCTCCATGTTGTAGATCCAGAGCTCTTCTCTAGGCAAGTAAAAGTCATATAATCCTCTGACTTGATTACTCTAAGAAACCAAAGAAAAAAAATCAAGTTAAAAAATAGCTGGCATTCTGAGATGTATGGCTGTGTATTCTTCCTATCTTATTTGAGATACTGAGAGTTATGAAAAAAATAGGCCTTCAAGTCTATCAAATGCAGAATCCTCCCTGCCCTATGCCACATAGTTAAGGTAATGCTTAATACAGACAGCTATTAATTTAATTTTGATACAGTCGTCACAGTGGTGCAGGAATTTGAGACACTTCTGGGAAATCTCTAAGGCCACTTTATCCTGAACAGATGATGTGCCAAATTTCAGCTGCATGACTTCAGAAGAGATTACTTGTGCCATGGTTGGCAGGCTAAAGAAAGGCCTACCTTTAAAGTGCCTGACCCACACTTCCACTTGATGTATCACTTTCTAGCCATTCTTTCCTTTTACCCATTCACTGAAGCAGGGCAGAACTAGAAATATGCAAATATGCAAATATATTATGCAAAATTTTAAGTTCCTTGTTCTCCATTTCCCTTAAGGTAATAACTCTTTAACAGAATGACTTATCATATACCAGCATGAGCTGAGTTCTCTCCATGGATTGCTCTATTTAATCCTAACAACCCTAAAATTTCATAATACAAGACAGGTTTTTTGTTGTTTTTTAACAGAGCTAAGTAATTTACTAAACGTTACTTGGCAAGTAACAGTGGAACCAGGATTCTATCTCCTTTCCCTTAATTTGCAACTTCAACCACTGCCTGACCTCTCCAATCTTTCAGCCTCCCTGGCCACTTTTTGAACACTGTCAACATACAGTAAACAAGTAAGGTTCACTGAGAATGGGTGTCAGCGTCCAATAAGCTTGAGTATTATACAGAAAAAGTGTAGCTGGCCATTTCTTTCCATTCTACCACTTAAAGAGAAAGGCTGGAAGCAAGACAGCAGGCTGACTCAGATCAGCCTGGCCTGGGAAGGAACACTGACTAATGTATAGGAGGCTATGGTTTATTGCCCTTAAAACAATCTCCAAGGGCTTCCTGTGGCTATTTCTCAGGGTCTGAGACAAAATATGGTAGATAGCCTGTATTAAATCACACACTTCATGGATCATTCCTCCCTACCTAGGCTTCCAGGCCTCAAAACCTCACCATCAGGAATCTCCCACCCTGACAAGCCTCCCTCTCCCCACGCCTAAAGGAAAGTCCCCTTCCCTCAATGCTGATTTGTACAAACAGAATTATGAATAAAAATAGTTTTAGATTTAAGTGTGATTGACCAACAGGTTTACTTTTCTACAAGGGAAATTATTAAGGGTCACCACATACCTTCCTCCTCCTACCAAATACCATGTTCTAAATACCTACTTATTGGATGCTGAGGAAAATATTGCAGATTAATTAGGATTGGAAAAAACGACTTGTGGTTAAACCAAATGAAGTAAGCAGACTAGCTATAGCAATTTATCCCAACTCTTTTGAGAGTCATTTCAGAAGTGGTCAGCTATGATCAGGTCAACTGTACTGTAAACTAAAATCTATTACCAGTCGTCAAGTCATTGAAGGCACAGGTGTAGTGGATTAGATTGCAAGTCTTTGTTAAGACCAAAAGGGACTAAGAAGAGTATTTTTGATAGGAATGGATCACAGCCACCCAGCAAATGAAACAAGACAATTCCAGAATGTGGAGTGTTACTGGGAAACTAAAAGCAAAAGGGCAGAACTGGAGAGCAAAGTATAAATAGGAGACACTTGGTTAGGATTCCCAGACTGAGGTCAAGAAATAACTGGCTTTAAACTGGCAACTGATCACAATGTTTACGATCAGGGGTCAAAGAACTGCACTTAGAACTGCTGCTGTTGACTTTCTGGTTACTGGTGGAGCATTTCCATTACTATTCTTAATAAGGGTTTTTTTGGAAAAATTCCAACCCTTAAGAAACAGACCTGAAATGTTCAAACAGCAGTGTGGGGGCCATCTGCAGAGATGTAGCTGGGATCGCTGAACCGGCGGGAAGATTGACTAAGCGATCCCTGTGGCCTTTAGGCCGGAATTCCAGGGGGCTTCCTACACCTCCGTCATGCCGTAAGTGGGCAGCAGTACAGGCTGGCCCACAGCAAAATGACCCCGCCTCCAGGGGGTAAAGTGCTCCTAGTCCGATAAAGGGTGAGTGACATCGCTGTCACCTCTTACACATCCCTCAGCCCTTTTAAATAAAACGTTTCGTAGTCCTGCACCGCCCGACATGCCCCACCCCCATCCCGAATAACGCTCCACGGTCAGAGTGAACCGGGGCGCGCCCGCAGCCATGGGGGTGGCGGGGGTGGACTCCGAGCGCGTAAGTCGGCGTGACAACAGCCCAGGAGCCTTAGCACGGGTTGGAGGACCCGTGAGAAGATTCCCACTCGCCAGCAAATGAACGGGCGAAGTCGAGACGTGGGGGCGTGGGAGGTTCCCGCCCGCGGCAGCAGCTCCAGCCTTCCCGCCTGGCCTGCCGCGGCGCCGCCACCCACTGACCTTGTAGCCGCCCCAGACGAACATGTGGCGCCCGTCGCCGACGGCTACGTGGCCGCTGCGCTCGGCGGGGCAGGCGAGCTCCATGGGCTCATAGCTCTCGTAGGCTGGCCCCGGCAAGTCGTCCGCCCGCAGATCCTCGTTGCCATCAGCCATCTTGCGGCTGCACTTTTGTTCCCAACAATTCCCACACCCGCGAGAAGGGAAAAGACAAAGGAAAAGGGAGAACGAAATGCACGGCGGCGCAGACGAGCAGGCGGCGGCGGTGCAGGAGCCGCGATAGGGGCGCTCCCTCGCGGGTGCGCTCGCGTCCTCCCGGCCCCGGTGGGGCGCGCACAGCCTCTCCGCCGCCTGCGCAACGGGGCGCGGGCGGAGGGCGGCGAGGTCCGGGGTCGCGGGCAGGACGGGGAGGGGTCGGCGACCGGCCGTATGAGCTTCCAGCCCGTCCACCCCGCCTCCCGCTCGCCTCTAGCCGCCGGCGGCCCTTGTTTACGCCGCGGCTGGGACCGCCCCTTCCGCTGAACCCACCGCCCGGTTCCGGGGGCGTGGCCGCCGCTCAGCGCCCCCAGCGCTTGGTCCTCCTGCCGCCGTCACCGCCGCCGCCCGACGGTCCGACCCGCGGCTCCCGGGCCAGAGTCCCAGCCGCCCTGCCCCTTCCGCGGCGTCCTGGGCACGGGAGCTCCGTGTGGCCGGGGAAGGCCCCGCTCTGCCGCGAGCCTCCCCCCACTGCGGCCCTTAAAGGATCTGTTGACGTTTAGCGAGATTCTCGCAAAAAGTGTTTCTTCCCCGAGAGGTGCTTGTTTGAGGAATGTTTTCAAAGGGTTCGCAGCTTGGAAAGGGGTAGTAAAATTGCTCTTATGTATTTCTGGTCTTAGCCCCTCCCCTAGAGAGGGTCAAAGCTCTTTCCCTGTGGACACAGGAGGCGCCGCCCATTCCGCATGGTCCCAGCGCCGGTCTTCGGCTGCTTCCCGGCAGAGGTGACCGCGGGTGCGCGCAGCGGCTCCCGGACTCCGCGCACCCGGCTGTGCCCGCAGAGCGGTTCCTGGCATCTCAGCTAGGTTCAGGTGCAGAAGAGATCTTAAATTGCCGCTGCAACTTCCTCCCAGTTTGGAAAATTGTGCTCAAAAAGTTTTTCAGAAACCATCACTGCCCAGTCCTTCAGGGAGGATGGCAAATCTAGTTCACACACACTATTTTTCTCTTGATTTTATATGCTATATATATTTCAACTAGGTCAAGAGAAAATTAAGAATTATTTTAATCTAAACTTGATTCCTCACCTGTAAAATGTGGTTGGACTAGAATACATCTTAAATCCCTAATCTAATGGTGTCTCTGCTTGGATGTGTTTGGTGAGGAGTGTACTTTATTCTCTCCCCCATCTTCACCCTGGGTCCGCTTTGAACAAAAAAAAAGGCTTTCTCAGAATTGATGCATTTATCTTTCTCTACCTGATCCCTCCAGAATTTAAAAACTCTCAGTGACTATTTTCATATTTTATGGCAGTATGTTTATTTGCATAAGTTCAATAAGAATCTGCTTTCCTTGTAAGAGAACCAATTAAAAACACTGGTTTATATTGACTGGAATGTCATACCTGAGAGACACGTGCGTAAATAGATATGAATAGACAGCTTTAAGGAACTAAGGCTGACTTTTAGAGCCAACAAAAAGCCTCTTGGAAGAACTGGCCTGGTATCTTGCTTACAGGGTTCCCAGCAGTCTTGTCAGGTGGATAAGAAAAGTCATTTCCTGGCAGGTGCAGGAACCTCAGAATGTCTTGGGGACCTCAAGAAGACAGAAAGTCGCCCAAATCTACAGGTACTGCAGGCAAAACCTGATGGCAAGTCTGGCTTGGCTTTCTGGCCTCGAGAGGCCTTTAAAAGTCCAGTCTGAAATTCCTTATAAAAAGTTCCAGCAAAGCACATTTAAAAGAGCCTATGTAATCGACTGCTCTTCTTGCTGCACTTAGACAAATAATCAAGCCAAGTGTTAATTATTTTGTTCATCTGGTTACTTCTAAAAAAAAAAATGAGGGTGATTTTAGAGAAAAGTATTGCTTCAGTAATGCAGCCTTATCTATACTAAGTCCTGATACTAGTCATTGGGACATAGACTAAATCCAGAATTCTAGTTTCCCCAAAATATCTGGCTATGATTCTCCAGACATTTTTCCTTGTCAAGTTTATTCCTCCAAAATGGAAAAACCCAACTCCAGATGTTGCTACTTAACCTAATAACACGATTTGTTCTATCTTGCCTAGAAGCCATAAAACTGCAAATAGTAATTGAAATGGAACCCGGAATAGAAATGCCCATCTTCCAAGGCCCTCTCAACTGACCACTGATGGAGACCTAACTGCACCCCGTACTGCACCCCTCTTAGCATGAAGCAGCCAGAACGGTCGTCGCCCCCTTCCCCTAGTAGTAGCTAGGGTATCCATCTATAGAGGGGGGAATGAGACAGGGACTGTGGGTATAGTCAGAGTAGGGTGAGGGCCTCCAGAAAATGCAAGGCAAGATAATTACAGTCAAAGCAGTGTAACAACATGCAAGGAAACCACCTACCAAAACTCTGTGTTAAACATAAAGCTCTACAGGCATTCTTCAGTGAGATCAGTTAATATTCCCCACATAAAGGAAAGTATCTCAGCATAGCCCATGTTTTTATTATTCACTTTAGCATGCTAAAAGGGATTTAATGTCTCATCAAGGAAAAACATCCTAAGACCACTTTTAACAAGTCCACACCCCTAAGCCCTTTAGCAGTTCCCCCAAATCCTCAACTGCCTATAAATCCCCTAAACAAATGCACCACCCCAGGCTCCCTTGTCCCCTCCTGGCGTGAGCCAGGAGCTCTGTCCTCTCACTTAATCTCTAAATAAAAGTCTCTCCCTGGCAATCCTACAAAAAAAAAAAACGGCTTCCCCACTCAAATTTTCACGACCTGAAATTCCTTCCCCTAGTCTGTATGTTTACAACTCACCAAATTTGTGGGATGGGTGAAAGCAGTGCATAGAAGGGAATTTATAGCATCGAATGCATATATTAAAAAAGAAGAAAAATCTAAAAATCAATCACCTGTTTCCATCTTAGGAAACGAGAAAAGATTAAAGTCAAAGTAAGCAGATGAAAAGAATTAACAAAAATTAGAGCAGTAACAATGAAACTGAAATCAGGGCATAAACAGAAAATCAACAAAATCAAAAACTGGCTTTTGGAAAAGATCAATAAGCCTCTAGTCAGGCTAATTCAAGAAAAAAAGAAGACACAAATTACTAATATCAGAAATTAAATAGGGGACATCACTGAAGATGCCACGGACAGTAAGAGGATAACAAATACCAAGAACAACTCTATGCCCACATATTTGATAACAGAGATGAAAGAACCAATTCCTTAAAGACACAATCTGCCAAAACATATGAGAAGAAATAATCTGAAGAGGCCTATATCTATTAAAGAAATTAAATCAACAATTAATAACCTTCAAAAACAGAAAACATCAGGCCAACATAGCTTCACTGGTAAATTCTAGGAAACATTCAAGGAAGAAATTATACCTATTTTCTATAATCTCTTTTAGAGCATAGAAGCAGAGAGGATACCTCCTAACTCATTTTGAGGTCAGCCAAAACAAGACAAAGACATCACAAGAAAACAAAACAGACCAATATCCCTCATGAACATAGATGCAAAAGTCCCCAACAAAATATTAGCAAATCAAGTCCAAAAAATTTAAAAATTATATACCATGACCCAGTGAGGTTATGCCAGGCCTGCAAGGCTGGCTCAACATTCAAACATTTACTAATGAAATCCATCATATCAACAGGCCAAAAAAGAAAAGTCACATGATCATATCATAGATGCAAAAAAAACATTTAACAACATGCAATATCTATTTATAATAAAAACTCCTAGCAAACCAGATATAGAGAGGAACTCCCTCAACTTGATAAAGAACATCTATAAAAAATCTACAGTTAACATCACACTTAATGGTGAAAAACTGAAAGCTTTCCTACTAAGATCAGGAACAGGGAAAGGATATCCCCTCTCACCACTACTTTTCAACATCCTACTGGATGTCCTAGGTATGCAATAAGGCAAGGAAATAAAAGGTTGGGAACAAAGAAGTAAAACTGTCTTTGTTCATGGATGCATGATCATCTACATAGAAAATACTAAAGAGAAATTACTGTGGTACATTCAGACAATGGAATTATTTAATGTTGAAAAGAAATGCTTCTTTTCAAACAATGAAAAGACAAGAAACTTGCATGCAAATTACTAATGAAATAAGCAAATTTGAAAAGGCAAAATACTGTATGATTTCAAATATACGACATTATGGAAAAGGCAAGATGATGGCAAGAGTAAAAATATCAGTGGGTGCCAAGGTTCAGGGGGAGGGAGGAATGAATGGGCAGAGCACAGAGGATTTTTAGGGCAGTGAACCTATTTTGCATGATACTATAGTGGTGGAAACATGTTACTTTACATTTGTTTAAGCACACTGAGGGTCCACCACTGAGAGGGAACCCTAAACTATGGATTTCAGGTGTGTCTTTCAGCTAAGGCAGCTATAACAAAATATCACAGACTGGACGCCCTAAACAACAGATTTTTATTTCTCACGGTTCTGGAGGCTCGGAAGTCCAAGATCAAGGTGCAGGCAGCTTTGGTCTTGGTGCAAACCCTCTCCCTGACTTGCAGACAGCCTCCTTCCAAGAGCAGCCTCATGGCAGGGAGAAAGAGCGACAGAACTCTGGTCTATTCTCTTTCTACGTGGACAGTAATCCCATCATGGGATTCCCACCTTCATCCCACCTCAATTGACTCCCAAATACCCCACAAATACTATCACAGTGAGGACTGGGGCTTTAACATGAATTTGGGGGAAAATATGGAGCCCATTAACAGAGTGATTTAGAAAATGTGCTTGCTGTACTCACATGCTGGACTGTATGGTGATTTCATTAAATTGGGGATTTCAATAGGATCACATCAATACACAGAAACACAGGTACCAGGGGAAAAAGTTGGCAGGGGGCACTGTTTCTTAAAATTACTTCTTTTCCTTTGAAATTTTCTGAAATCAAAGTTTTAATTTGGCAGACAGTATGTTTTACCCTGAAAATTATTCTATCTTTGTGAATTTATTTTATAGTGTTTCTCTCACACACATACATATAAAATAATGTATTGGTAAACACATTGCTTTGTGCCTGGGCTGACAGTATCAATTTCTAAAGAATATTTTTAAGCTTCTATCAAAAGGTTAGTAACTTTTTGAAAGGCATTTGTGCAAAGATACTATCTGGAAAAATGTACACAAATTTTGATGTGTTATTTACTGTATCATACTAAAAATGATAATAGCCTCAGAAGAATTTTTCCTGGCAACTGGAATGAGAGACAGTAAAGTTGGCCAGAAATTCCTTTTCCTTAGAGCCAGACTATTTTGTGAGCCACCTGAGAAAAGTCAACCCTTCTAGACTCATCTTCAAATGGAGCCAATAAGGGAGAGTTCAGAGATAAAGTTATGAGGCTATCATATCTTGGGTTTCTGTAGACTGCAGAGGTCAGCACAAAAGTTCATAAACCATCAGCTGTTGAAAAGTGAAGAATGAATACTGCTTGGTGTGAAACTTCAAAACAGGCTTTGCCAGCTTCCAGATTTTCTATACCTCCTAACAGCAGGGAAGCCCTGGTTTAAGCCACGTTTTGGAAATTGAAGGTAATAATCAGAATTCCCTGTCACACCTACTGTGGGGCTGCCTCAGGACATGTAACTTTCTGAAGCAGCACAGTATACTAAGTCAAATAAGAATAGCACCAGTTTTGTGTGCCAGACAATATACAGAGATTTTCATTCTCTTGAAGCTTACATGATAGTGTGTATTTTGAGGGGACTAATCCAACTTTTAATATTCTAAGTAACCATTTAAAAACAAAAGTGTTCTTCTAAAAGACCAGAGAAGGCATCCCCACAATCCAGAAGCCATTGAAAAAAGCATTCATTCCAATCATCATCATCTATCACTATCCAATAGGTTTTGGTATTTTTCCCCTAAATATAAAATGCTGATACAGATTCATTTTCTAAATCTGTTATTCAGCCTAAATATAGTATAAACTTTATAGTAAATTCATAGTAATAAGATAATTAATTCCAAGATGTATATTATCTGTGAGATTCATTTTCTAAATCTGTTATTCAGCCTAAATATAGCATAAAAAAATGAAAACTGAAATATCATTTGCACAATCAACTCTAATGACTGGTTCACACTAACAAAACTAGGAAAATAGTAAATCTATATAGTTTGTACAATAAATAAAATGTAAACAAAATATCTCAATACATAAATAGAAGTTTTACACATCCAAAATACAATATATATATAAAATTTAGTGAAATACTACAAACTCCTGTAATTTCATTATAAACTACATGTATATGTCAACATAGAAATATATTTTCTCAAACATTTTAAATTTCAGAGATAATTTGCAATGGTGGTATTGTGAAGAGTAATTTTATATACTGAGCTTTTTAGTAATTCCTTGTAATTCAATGGAGGGGTATAACTGACAACTTGTTCATTATGGTAAAAAATACTGCTTTAAGGAATATAAAGATAAATATAGTGTTCCATTTCTGTATAGGCAGTTAACACTGAAAATAAATGGGAAGATAACATATTGTCAGTATCCTGGGTCTTGAGCCCCAATTCTGTAGAATGGTGTAGGTCAAATCAAGGGATTTCTATAAAGGCAAATAACTAGGTTACCCTCCCATTTCATTATTTATGAAGTTATTTTAGAAGCACTCTTCAAGGCTAAATGTACTTTAATGTGTCACAAAAGTTAATAAATAGACTGCTTCTCAATATTTCAAGGCCTGTATGATTTATAAACCTCCACTTTAGACACTAAAACATGGTGTGTGTGTGTGTGTGTGTGTGTGTGTGTGTTTGTATACATAAAATTGGACAAACTAGTAACATAGGGGCAACAGAAAGACAACTGAAGACATTTATTCTCCCACTCAAAGGTGAGGAAAAGTTATGAGGCTGCTTAAGAATATTTTACTGGGTAAGTGCGAAAAGGATAGTTCAGGATTTCATACCCTACCAGAGTTTCCCTATTTTATAATTTTGGCCAGCTGTATCAGTTATTTAAGGTGAAAGTTTAAAAATGAGTTAATGAGATGCCTTAGATAATTTTTAAGTGACTTAAGAAGTTGTATTCTTTTTGGAAAGTGATATACAGTGCTTTCATCTATCATGTTCGGGGATTTCTAAAGTCCTTGTGGTAATTTCTTATTCTTCTCAAATTTGCATAATCTTTCCAATACAGAGTACACAGTGAATTAGATCTCTTACAATTGTACTTACTTTTTACTGCTTACAAGGAAATTAGTTTACAAATATAAATATAATCTGCCATTAACATCTTATCCCCTATATCCCATGTCATATAATCACTCTAATATAGCATTTGTGTTTTAAATTTTTCATTTACATACAGCCTCCAATTTGGGAGATATGGTCTGATTAAAATGTTCAAGCATATTAAATATAGACAGTATATAACAAGTTAATTGCTACTGATCCACTGATACTTATTTTCTCTTTCTTCTTTTCGAGCTCTTTGTTCTTCTCGGTGATTAGCTGCAGCCCAAAACGTTATTTTTTTGAGTACTTGTTGCAGAAGCTTAGGAGGTAATAAAGATATCTGACTTTCTAAAATTATAGCATTTTTACCAATACAGTCAAGGCATGACCTGTGAACAAACATAACAGAATTATTAGTTCTTGAACGTGAAGTTATATTTAAAATTTATAGGTCTGTGTTTTTAAAAAAAAAATCATCATAAAAATTTTACATGATAATGTATTTCCTTTGTATTGTTGGGAACGTGATAGGATATATGATCTTTTTATAGCACCACAACAACTGTCTATTTTTATAGGCTAGAGACTATATCTGACCAAAAATCAATGGAAAAATAAATTCTAACTCACAAAAGATTCACACTTAATATCAAAGTAGGTTTACCTGTAGCAGCCGTTTTCACACTTGCCCTTCCAGTCCTTTACATGAGAACTTTTGCTTCCATTACCCCAAGAGGAAGCACGTGGGATCCATTTTTGTACCGCGTGACCTGGTCCTCCCCACCCTCCTTTATAAATGGCTGCCCTGGATCCCACACCTGACTTACGATGACCCAGAGGGAACAGGTCTGAAGAGAGGAATGCCGCGCCAGCACAGAAAAAGCTAAGGAGACCGCCTGAGGTTCTCCCCTCCTGGGGGCCTGGGTGCTCGTTTTTTCCCTTCAGGTTCTCCTAGAGAGCCGCGTCCCCCCAGATCCAATTCCCTTTTTACCTCTTAAGCTACCTTCAAGAGGGTT